TATTATACTTTCTCTATAGAGATGAAAACCTTGATTTGATAAATAGAATCTAACAATAGAATAGAAATAAAAATCCTTAAACATTAATTATGAGTCATATAAACAATGACGTGACAGTAAAATAGATTATAGGTATAAAAGAAAACAAAACACCAAATTATGAAAGTGGACGAAGCAAGAAATGTAAGGCCATCTTCTTTCTATTTGCTTACTCCGCTAAAAACTTGAGCATAAGAATAAATGATATTCTTATGCTTGAAATAAACAGCGTTTAAAAATTGTGACACGTATAAACACTAAATAAAAAAAAAAACACTAAAATGGCAGGGGACGAACTCAACAGAGTAAAACTTTGCCTCTGTAGCATCTGTGTGTCAAGTGAGTTACAGAGATATTTCTAGGTACGGAGATATAACAATACCATAGATTAGCCATGGAATCACAAAGTAGTAGTGCTGTTAATATCTATAAGGTACGGTTACCACTTTCCATCATAGTGAGCCTACAGCTTGCATGCCATTCTAAATTGCATATAAAAGTCAAATTGCTCTTAGATCCAAAACAAAATTTACCACAAGGTCCAGTGATGTCATGCTCATGTAGAAAATTTTGTAAACTTATATTAATTTTTTAACGTTGATTACTTACATATACAACGGAAATTTTATGGATTTACTGTGTTGTTCGTTTCTGTGTAGTTCTGAATTTTATGAAATTATTACGTTTGTAGTTTTCGTGTCGTTTTGAATTTTATTAACTTACTGTGTTTATCGTTTTCGTGTTGTTCCGAATTGTATACATTTACTGTGATTGTAGTCTCCGTGTCGTTACGAATTTTATGAACTTACTGCTTCGTCATTTCTGTACCGATCATAATTTTTTGATCTTATTGTGTTTATCGTTCCAGAAGTCGAAACAATTCTCAGAAACGACAAACACAGAAAGTTCATAAAATACACAACAAAGTACATAAAATTTCCGTTGTGCATATATGAAGACATGCTCGTAGAAGATTCTAAATATTCCAATTTTGGAGTTACCAATATACAAGCAGACCATTTCATTTCAATAAACCTAATGCTTTTACTGGACACTCTACATAGACGTGCAGTTTCCAGTTAAAACAAAAGTATGATCAATAAAAAGACCAGTCTGTCTGGACATGCGACACGTAACCACAATAAATTCTAGTTATCTGTAACTCCCACATGCGTGATGACGTATTTTCAAAACACAGAACTCTTTCTAATACCGACCATTAGATAGGGTATTATTACAACAAAAAAAGCATTAGTCATTCTCTGTCTAATATAAACACTAGAACTCCAATTATACTACATTAAAAGAACCAAATATTCAGAACCTATATGTTTCGCCTTGAATCTATAATTTTTTGATACTAATTAACACCTGCAATGCGACATAGTTTATATGGACTTTAATCAAAGGACATAGGGACCACTTCAGCAGAGGGAGACTCTGTATAAAAGTCGATTGCTTGGGTACCTCTGTCCCATTCGTGTTTCAACTGTGAAGCAGTTGTGTTTGCATAGCTGTGTTTCGGTTTAAAGAGATGTGGCGTGAATTTACTGGGTGCAGAGGAATAACATCGGAGTCCTCAGGAATGGCAACACATAGGGGAATATCATGGACGAAACAGTATACTCTGTAATGTCCATGGTACTGCTCATGTCTATAGACGACGGTTACCACTTTCCATCAGGTGGGCCGTCAGCTTGTTAGCCATTCTAAGTTGTATAAAAAAAAATTGTTTAAAGAATAAGTGATATCTATTGTATCCTGTATTAGCTTTCATCAACTAATAATTTGGTAGAAGTCTACTTCACCATAATTAGTTTCAATTTGCCATTATAAATCAACTGTCCTGTCTTTACCCTCAGCTATCATTAAATTTGATATTTAAAAAAAAAGAAGCCAAAGCCATAATTTTTAGAAATTTTCTCTATGTGTATGTATGTTTGTTCTGGCATCCTGCAAAAACTACTACACCAAATTGGATGCGGTTCACTGGTATATTCCTGAAGGTATATAAGGTATATTCCTATATCTATGTATAATCTTGATACGCTATATGGAAGTGATCTATTCCTTATGTTTTTTTTTTTACTTCTGATATTTTCCTTTATAAAGTAGCAAGCTAAAAACTAGTCATGAATATTATAAACAACCTGGGAATGAAAGGACAGAATAATATTTGTATTTTTGTTACATAATTCTTCTCAAGAACTCTATATAGTATATTCAGTCCTAACCGAAAAAAGGGGGGAAGGGATTGTTAGAAATAGGGAGGTTAGTCCCTATTGCTATCAATATACACTATCAGGTCGACCTCCACGCGGTTCCCCCTGGAAACCATCGTGGTTAATTCTAGTGGAATTCGTCACGATGGGCTAACTGACCTGCTTTCACCGTCACCTATCATCTCTCACTAGTGCCCCGCCAGTATATACCGATAGCGCAGGTGGGGTTACCATACCATTTTCACCCACAAAAAAAACCGGAAAATGAGTACGAAAACAATGAACTTTGTACCTCCAACCGCGTTCTTCTAATCGACTTCTCGGCTTGTTACAAAAAAAAAATGGGTTTACTCATTGTCGCGAAATAAACCTCGCGTGTGCCCTACAAAGCACCACCACCGTAATTACCGTCTACATCTCTCGCTGGGATCTTTTTAAAAGTCCTACTAATATTATAAATGTGTTATATTTATAAAATAAAAGCATATTTAGATATTTATTACTCTTTTTTTTAACCGCTTAAAAGAAAGAGATTAATTTTAATGAAATTTGGTACACGGGTATGTCATATCTTAACTTAGAACTAGGGGGGGAAAGGGATTGTTAGTGATGGAGACTGAGAATCCTATTGCTAGCAATATACCCAACCAGGTCGACCTCCTCGCGGTTCCCCCTGGAAACTATCATGGTTAATTCCTGATGAATTCATCATGATGGGCTGACTGGCCTGTTTTCATTCTCATCTATCACCCTTCACTGGTGCTCCGCCAGCGTATCCCGTTAGCGCAGGCGGGGTTACCATACCATCTTCACCCATCAAAAAAAAACTTAGAACTAAGGGTGAGTATATATAGCAATATCTATATATTTTAGTTATAATTTCTATATTCTAGTCCAATAACGAATATGTTAAAAGTCCAAATCTAAATCCAAAAAATAATGTTGGATAACAGATTTTTAACATATTCGAAAATAGATATCCGACCGATATGGGCGATATCGAAATGGGTGATAACCGATTTTCTACCATCAATGCCAGAAGAACCCAATATATAGATATCAGATCGCTATCCATATTACCTACGCGTGAATTAATGTATAAAATACCCATACATTTTATACACTAATTCATGCGAGTGAACCCGCGAGAAACAACTAGTTAGAAAGGGGGGAAGGGATTGTTAATAATGGGATCTAACAGCCTCATTACTAAAAATATCAGGTCGACCTCCACATGGTTCCCCCTGTAAACCATCGTGGTTAATTTTTGTGAAATTCGTCACGATAGGCTAACTAACCTGCTTTCATCCTCATCTGTCATCTATCATTGGTGCCTCGCCAGCGTATACCGATAGTGCAAACGGGGTAACCATAGCATAAAAAAAAAACAAAAAAAAACTAGTTAAAAAATGTAAAAGAATTGGAAGCTGAATTCTTAAGTAAATATTGATAACGAAAAATTCAATTTGTCCTTTAAGCTTAAAAAATTAGACCTTATTATACACGTGTCGCCGTATGGTCTCGGCATAGAATAGGCCCTTCCTTTCCCGTAAGTGTCGTAGGAGGTGACTAATGGAGTGCGAACGATGGGCAGCAGCGTCGCTCTTAATACACCTCCCAAGCATAGCAATTACTGGCAAATTCTACAAGGGGAGGCTTATGTTCAGCAGTGGATGGTTTAAGGCTGATATGATGATGATGATGATGATGATACACGTATTGTATAATCCGAATTGAGTAATATTCTGTAACCATGGAAACAACAGAAATGCTCTTCAGGTTGACCACTAGATGGAGTTGTTAATTTAGTATATATATATATATATATATATAGTGTGTGCTAATATATGTGCTAATATATAATTTAATCTGGTTATTTTTGCAATAAAATATTAAGTGTATTAACGAAATTTTAACAATAAAACTCAGTAAAATTGCTGCTGGACAGCTAATAGCGTAAAAACCCGTCCAAATGCGTGTTAGATATGCATCAAAAGGGTTCCGTAGTCATATTTTGTTCAAATAAAAAACTGGATTAGATATAACTGTTATTGGCTTTAATACTTAATATGCCTGTCGACCTACAATTATTTGTTTTATATTCAATGCACTGTAGAACTAGTGTCTGTATCAAAAAAAATATTTTATAATACAAGCCCAAAGCTTAATGCAAGAATCATTGTTAAAATATATTACCTTATCCAAGTATGTAAAATAAATAAATAAATAAATTCAATACTGATATACTGAGTTAATTTAAATCCTTTCCTATGGGTGTCGAAAAGGCGACTAAGGGAACTTAATGATCGAGCGATGGGCAGCAGCGACCCTCTTTAAACATCAACAAAGCCTAACAGCGGTTGCCAACCCGCCTACTAAGCGTGGCAACTACTAACAAAACTCCCAAAAGGAAGGGCTATGTTCAGCAGTGGACATATAACGACTGGTAAGATGAGTTGTGTCAGTTTGTAAAGAGGGTAGCAGATAGATATTTGTATATTTTTACTCAATTAAACGGATGAACAGATTTGAGTAAAACTCGATATAAAGATCACGCGATAAAAACATTATCACGTGATTTTTATCTTAATGCATTCGAATTTTAGAAGATATAAAAAAAATAACTATAGTTGACAAAATTGCTGTTAAAAATATGACATAATTTTTTTAACATATTGTAAATAATTCCAAAATTTTTGTATGTAAAATTTCGATACGGTCACTGTTCAAACATCTCACCATCCAAGGTCCCATTCTGAATGGAAAGCGGGATGCGCAGCCATAGCACCCAGCGGCACTCCGAACCCGAACTCTATCTTGACAGCGTCGTCTGACCTCCTTGGCCAAGTACCTTGAACACTCTCCCGAGGTTCCGTTCCTGTGCCAGTCTTTGTGTCGTTCGTCATTTTTTAAATTTGAATTTTATTGTTTCTTATTTAAAATTTAATGTCTCATTACACTATACCGGTTTCAAATTAATTTTAATGAAAGTTTAAAAAATTCAATCTTTTGGGAATAATTAAATATAAATATTAACGTCCTTACCAAAAACTTAGACATCAAAGTTTTGAATATCACTTATAAGTTATTAAACCTTTTTTGTCACTGTAAATATTATTAAACGACAACAGCGTCAACGTATATTTAATTAAAAATATACATTGTAATAAACAATAAAATATAAAGTCATAAATAATTATGAAAGCACAATAAAAATCGCGTGTCGTCGAATCGAATGAGTTTTTGCGGTCTACGCCTCTACGGCGCGTGCTACGACCGTCCGCGGCGACTGCCCGGCATCTACACACAATTGTAGTATATGACCGCTACAGTCTACTATCGTACCGTCCACCGTTCACCTATGACGGCCGATGACCGTCTCAATGCCGACACCCTGTCATTACCAATTTATAATGTCCTAAATCTAGTTATAGTTGAAAAGGTTTATCATTACAATGTGGAACATGGAATTCTCTTGACAATTTATTAATATTTAAAGTCCATTAGGTGACAAGTTTAAATTGTTTTGTTTTCCATAAAGAGAATATGTATGCCACGTATGTTCTATTTACGGTACACTATAAAATCCTCATTGAAGTGTAGTGTTATAGTATAGTGTTGTAAATATCTGAAGCTATTTTATTGACACATTTTTATAATTTGTTGATAAAATGTTTATTTATTAGTTATATTGATTAATGTTTATGAATTATTATTTAAACACATATCGGTTGGGGGCCTGGTGATCTGTACTACAGGTCTTAACCTATTACAGACACCAGCTCCTCACAACAGAGTTCCATATTATTTTAATTTTATTTTATCCTAAATACCTCACGTGTAAATTTAAGTTGTTTATGAGGAGACATAAATAAATATATTATTATTATTATTGATAAGTTGCATCAATTTTATTTAAAAGTTGAAATGTGATAAAAAAGTTACTCAATATAACATTTTATAACATTTTAGTCTTCAAGCAATGCGAGTGAAATACCGTGGCAGTCACAGTATATTCTACGATACGCATACTTATTTTTATCTATTAATAATGAATACCAAATTCCATTTCACCACAGGGAGACTTTGTACAAAAGTCGATTGCTTGGGTACCTCTGTCCCATTCGTGTTTCAACCGTGAATCAGTTGTGTTTGCATGGCTGTGTTTCAGTTTGAAGGATGGGATATGGCGGGAATTTACTGGGTACAGAGGAATAACACCTGAGTCCTCAGGAATGGCAACGCATGGGGGGTATCATGGGCGAAACAGTATACTCTGTTATGTCCATGGTACTGCTCATGTTTATAGGCGACGGTTACCACTTTCCATCAGGTGGGCCGTCAGCTTGTTTGCCATTCTAAGTTGTATAAAAAAAATTAAAGGTATCTTCATTACACATATATAATAGATCTATATAGGTAAAGGTATAAAATTAGTTTAAATAAACGTTAAAAACAACGGCGTTAGTAAATATTAATAATAAATCCATTCAAATAGTCTCATTGACGTTAGTCAAATAGAATAGAAAGAATTTTAAAGTATTGTATGAAGAAAATAAGAGAAATTATTCATAGCAATAGAACAACCAAAAAGGAATATATTTCATTACATTATTCCTAGACTCTATTAGAAGACATATTTAGAAACCATTCAAACCTAGCATTTTAAACATGTATGTTTCTAATATAGCAGATTGTAGGTTCAATTTTTTTTTTAATGGATGATAATGGAATGGTAACCCCACCCGCGCTATCGGTATACATCGGCGGGGCACCAGTGAAGGATGATAGGTGTAGATGAAGTAGGTTAGTTAGCCCATCGTGACAAATTCAACAAGAATTAACCACGATGGTTTCCAGGGGGAAGCACGGGGAGGTCGACCTAATAAGGCATATTGCTAGCAATGGGGTTGTCAAACTCCATTACTAACAATCTCTTTCCCCCCTGTAGGTTCAATATTTAACAGGGAATGACTTAATGCAATATGTATTGATATTAATAGAGAGGTGAATATTGGCCTATTATTAATTGGACTTAATAATAGACAATTACTTTGAAGATTCCATGTCTAAAATGTGTGAATACGTGAATTATTTATATGACACCATTACAAGGCATTATGTCAAGTAGGTTATTTGAAGTAACCGTCTCTTCATTAATATTAATTATACTTACTTAATTTTCATGAAATTGTCCCACTTTAAGACTCCCCAAAAGAATAAGTAGCAAGCTAACTAAACAAAAACAGACGACCTCGCAAATTATTTTAATAACTCGTTTATTTCTTAAAAGAGAAGCAAACTTAGAAGCTCCGGAAACTATTGTATCCTCTTAATTTCTCTCTTGGACAGTATACGATTATTGTGATCATGTTAACCAAGGTAAAAAAATAAATACATTTATTTATTACTAATATTATACATTAAGCACTTCATAAATTATCTAGTTATGTATTAGAATCGGGTCACTAATTTCTCCAATACTTATTTATTATTCAAAGACCTCTATAGAGCTTATAGTCTTACTCATAAATCGATGTGCGGCTTATTCATTTAAAAGCCCTATGACCTAAACATTGAACTACTATTGATTAAAGCAATAAATGTTTATTGTATCTAATACAATAAACATCATTTCATTTTTTCGACAAATTGCAGCTTTCCAGAAAGTGAGATAAGGCAGGATAGATTGTTAAATTACATATAAAACCAAAATAGGTTTTTAATAAAATTACAATGTTATGTTCAAAAACTAATAATAAATTACAGTTGACAATTATACAAAACTTACAAAATATATAAGAAATAACAATATCAGAAATTAACAAAAATATACAGAAAAAATTAGAACAAACTGAGATAAATATAGTGCATTAGCGCTAGACGTCATACTTCCTAAAATATTCTGTTGATAAGGTTTCATATAAGGCATATAACGTAATAGCATGTTTAACACTGGTGCTTTCTCTACTGCTGATTTATTTCTCTCCATTTCTTCTGGTGGTGATGTAAAACTTTTTTTAATTGGACGAGGATACGTGTTACTAATTGCTTGATCATTGGTTACATCAGTCTGGAACGACGGCTCTCTAAGCTCGCGTCTAACCTGTAGTTTATAAACATCAAGATTATTGTTATCCAACAATCACAATATACATACATAATATTACATATCTTTCTGCAATTGTTTTAAAAAGCCAGACCACTCGATAAATATTTGGATTATTTTAAAATGCTTTCCAGCCAATCACAACCTTTTGAGATTCTTAAACAATAAATTTAATCTTTTAACAAGACTGTAAGCAATAAGCAATTAATTATTCTCAAAACATATATTTAGGAATAAATAAAATTTTAAATTGAAGTGAATTTCATTATGGCTTTAGTCTGCCGGCACATTTTACATCGGAGCACTTTCATTTGTATAAGTTTATGTCTTAATGCCGGTCCAAATTCAACCTAAAAAAATCTTCTTAGAAGTTGGTGGCATATAGAAAATAATAACCGCCCCTCCATCCATACAATCTCTAATTTCCAAAAAATATAAAAGCAGGTGCATTAGATAATCGTAAAAAGCACCATTTTAACATATACCTAATAATTTATTAAATATACCTTGCTCGAGGTAACTGTAGACATTTCCATTGATTGCTCCATTCGATCTAACGCCTCTTGTAATTCTTGTACGGTTTCAGCTGTGGAAATATTTTTAACTTGATAACAAGTTTAAAGAACTTTATTTCGTTTATAAACTAGTCACACAGGTTTCATCAATAATATATTATGATATCAACTTATAATGTACATAATTATTATCAATAAAACTATTTTTGTTTGAAAATCTTAGCATGTCCTACGTCTTAAATTATTATCACGATTTGAACGACCCTTGCACGATTTACTTACAATCAGAAAGATAGTCTTCAACTTTTTGTGGATTCAGTGATACGTTTGTGCCGTTCACCATTAATATCTCTGGTAATTGTGATAGTAAAGTCCTGTTCTTACTTGTGGTTCTATTCACATTTACGGATTCTAATGGTATTTTACTATAATCGGCAATATATTTTACGCCATTGTTGATTGGAACTTCTAATGTATCATTTATTATACTGATAGCGTTCGTAATATTATTGCTTTCAATTTCTTCTAAATCAATGTCCATATTATCTGAAATTGATTTTATTGTTTGAAAACTGATTTTGTCTTCTAAATATGTTATTATTAAAGTTTATTTTTATTTGTATTTTACCACTGATGGTGTTACTTGTAATTTCATCTCTAATCGAAGCATTATCTTGTTTACCTGCGTATTCATAATCTCCATAAAATTGGCTTTTAATCTTAGATAAATTTCGATCCGGTACGTCAAGACGATCTGTAACATATGACGAAGTTTAAATTTGTATGTCGTTATTCTGTTTTTATTTTTTCCATATATTTATTTTACTTACTTGCAGACATTACGACACTATCAACTTCATTCAATTCATCGATATTGTAAGATTTAGGTCGTCCTATTAAATTTATCATTTTCGTCTTATATTTTTTTGATGCAGTTTCTTCAAATGTTGCCGTACTTGTTGTATTTAATTTTTGATGTAAAATATTATTCGGAACGATATTATTTAAATTCATTATTTCATTATCTATTATTTTCTCCATTATGTCTCTCTTATGCATTGAGTTGTAATATGACAGAGTTGTTGAGGGATTTTCCATGGTAGCTATAGCTATCTTTGTAAGGTACAACTCGTCTATGCTTCCCAGATAGTTAAATACTTTATTAGCTTCTATTTCAAGTACTGTATTCAAAAGCGCATGTTCCTCTAGTGTCATTGTATTATCTATATCATTGGATTCATCTAAATTATATTCTAGAAATGACAAATATGACTGAGTTTAAGTCATTCAAAATTATGTAATAGATTATGTTCTATGGATTATCCATGTCAATAGCAGTTTGCAACCTATTAGGTAATTGTCTCAGATTACAGTTAATATTTCCTTCTGACATAGTATTATTATGAATGTATAATCTAAGTATAATATAAGTAGTCTATGGTTAATTCTAAAGTCTAGATCAATGTGTCAGTTATTTATAGTAGGTGCCTATACTATGTTAGTATATTGATGGATGGTAATAACCATCACCTATGAACATGACAAATACGATATGACTCACATGATTACGTAGTCAATAATTTCTCTTGAAACTAAAACACAGGCATTTAAGTACCATAGTTTAGCGGCAGAAACGAGTTGTATACGTACAAACAACGTTGCCAAATTGGATATGTATGTCGCAATTTTGGGTAAAAAATTGTGTTCCAACGAAACAGATTTAGAGAGATTTGGGTATTTTTTAATTGTTTTTGTAAATTTTACAAATACAATACTAAAAATATGCCAATGAAAGTGGAAAAACAAAGGGTAAGAGAAATTCAATATAAAGAAGTAATTTTTTTTACGTTGTTCACATTCTCAACATAAGTTTGTGATTGAGTAAAGATGTAAGAAACCATATCGTTTTAGTGAAAAAAATATTTTACATACGGGTATATATTAAATATAAAATCTGACAACCCTGCAAACAGACAACAGTACAGTCTCTCTTTTGTATGTCTCATTTTAAACATAAATAATACCATGTCATGTTGATACTAACGATAGTTACAAAGCCCTGGTATGTTAACATCAGGTAAGGATCTCGGAGGACAAGCAGAGGCGGGCACTGCTGGCATCCAGACCGCACGCCCAACTGTGGGCCCTCGAGGAGCGAAGTTGCATACCAGTCGCTCAACACTTCGTAGCCGCCCATTTCTTGGAACCTAATTGTACAATGGGCATGTGCTTAAACATCGTTCTACTTCTAAGTGATTTTAAAAATGAAAGTCTCAATATGCTTATATTTTTCTTTCTTTTATTAATTTCATCATTTTAACCGGACTACCACTGAATAGTCTTTCCTCATAAATTGGAATATTTCATCATCATATCATATCAGCTTTTAACTGACCACTGCTAAAGATAAGCTTCCCCCATGGGGGTTTTGCCAGTAGTTGCCACGCTTGGCAGCCGGAGTAGCAACCGCAGTTAGACTTTGGAGATGTTTTAAGAGGGACGCTGCTGCCCATCCCTTGTTCTCTCTTAGTCGACTCTTACGACACCCATGGGAAAGGAAGGGGTGGCCTATTCTATGCCAGAACCACATGGCGAATGTTTGTATAATGTGGATAAAAAGTGTGTGTAAAAGATGGGATGTTTGTATAATAATATTATATAGAGGTCCTCGAGTCTCAAACCCTTGCAGACAAATGTAACGTGAATCCTGCAAGATGGAGTAATGACTTCAAAAGTATTAGAAGGAGTCGCTGGATGCATGGATCTTACTGTGTTTTTTATTTTATTTTTTATACAACTTAGAATGGCAAACAAGCTGACGGCCCACCTGATGGAAAGTGGTAACCGTCGCCTATAGACATGAGCAGTACCATGGACATAACAGAGTATACTGTTTCGCCCATGATACCCCCCATGCGTTGCCATTCCTGTGGACTCAGGTGTTATTCCTCTGTACCCAGTAAATTCACGTGTGTGTATTTGTGTGACAAAATATGAGAGAGAACTGGTTGTAATAATGACGATGAATATGCTATACTTTTTGTGTATACAGTTTTATCTTCCTAAGTATAATTAGTATAAGTTAAAGTTATAACTAATATACTAACCATGAATCTACTTCGTCCACATCCCACCATATACGTATGTGCCCATACAATTTGAGCAAAATCACTATAGGAGCTAAAATTGGCTGTTGGACTGCAACAAAGAGATTAATATTTCTAAAATCAAATATTACTATAAAAAAATAACAAAATATTATTTTTTGATATTAATATTAAATATAAAAATAATATTTCAATTAATATTTAGTTTAAAGTTGAAAATATAAGTTTATGTTTGAGATTGAAAAATTTGTAGACGAACGGAACTTTAATTAACACCTTCTACGCCATGCCGGGGCCAGTGCTCTACCAGTTAAGCTAAGGCTTCACTGGATACCTTATCTACTACACTGTTTTTTTTATTGTTTGTTTTTGAAAATACGATATTAATTTTAAGAAAATTTATGTAAGTCTTTAATGAACAAAACCTTAAATTATTGAGTACTAGTTATTACGTGAATTTGATTCACATGAGGAAAGTTGTATTGATATAAAACATCCTGTGCTAAGCTAGAATCATCATCAACGTATCAACCGTTACCTGTCCACTGGTAAATATAGGCCTCCCTACCCATTGGGAGGTTTTGCCAGTAGCTAGAACAAATAATATAAGTAGATAAAAAAAATAACAAACTTCAATTCGCATCTATAATAGCAGTAGGTTTGGGGGGAAAGGGATTGTTAGTAATGGAGACTGAGAATCTCATTGCTAGCAATATACTCAACCAGGTCAATCTCCTCGCGGTTCCCCCTGGAAACAATCATGGTTAATTCCTGATGAATTCATCATGATGGACTAACTGGCCTGTTTTCATTCTCATCTGTCACCCTTCACTGGTGCTCCGCCAGCGTATCCCGTTATCGCAAGCGGGGTTACCATGCCATTTTCACCTATTAAAAAAAATTGCAGTAGGTTGAGTTCATACTTACGCAATATATGATGTGACATTGCCCTTATACAGTACATTCTGCATGTACCACATATCTATCATAGACTCGACACGAAGCCCGGGCGCTTCGCCCACCACAGACGCCACGCACTGACCCACAGAAGTGGAATCTAAATATAAACCAGCAAATTGGATACAATCGACTAAACGAGACTGTACAAGGTAAAGGGTAGAGAATTTATCAATAATTGAATTTAGAAACCCCATCGCTAGCAATATAATATTACAATCCATCTCAGCCTTTCCCAAAGTAGACGATAACGCCCCCTTGTGGGCGCTGCAGGCCAAAAGCGGTAAGAGACCCAAAAAAAAAATGGGGCTAAAGTAATAGTGGCTTTTAAGTATTTGAAAAAATAAGGGCGCTAAAAATAATTTATTTTCAAAGTGGGCAGTAAACAAAATAAGCTTAGGAACACCTGATCTATCTAAATGAGTGGCGGTCCTCAACCGTAAGTTTTTCTTCCACGTACAACCACGCTTTAGAATCAACTTCCAGCAGCCGTATTTCCGAACCGATACGACATCATAACCTTCAAGAAAAGAGCATATTCATTTTGTGTAGTTGCAGGTGTTGACTCTAACCTGACCCGACCTTTTAAGTCGGCAGCACACCTGCAATGCCTTTGATGTTACAGATGATCATGCGTGCCGGTAGTCATTTACTATCAGGTGAACTACATGCTCGTTTGTCCCGTGTGTTATAAAAAAAGTGTATATATAGGCTGTAAAATCTTTACTAAAATAATATATTTACTAACAAAGATCTCTGCATGCATCCTGTTCCTCGGGCGAAGTCGGCGGTCGGCACTGGTCAGCCCAGCGCTGGGCCTCGCGTGCTAACTCCTCAACCCAACGCTAAAAGTAACTTCATTATCATTATCGTAACAGCCGTTAACTGTCCACTACTGGGCAAAGGCCTTGGCAAGTCTAGCCAGTAGTTGCCACGCTTGGCAGGGGGATTGGCAATCGCCTGCCAAGTCTTGCAAGCTGAGTTAGAATCGGTTCCAAAGGACTGCAAGATTATATGTGATTTAAGAAAGAAAGAAATAAATATTTTTATTTAAATATACTTAGATTTAAACATTTTTGAATAGCCATTTTTTCATTACGAGTACACATCCATTCGGAACGCAATTTCAGCCAAGAAGAACGGGCAAGAAACTCAGCTGTTGCATTTTTCAAAAAGTTTTACTATATAAATAATGAATTTGTGTGAATACAAACTACTAAGCAGCATAATATATATATCAAATATCTAAAAATATGTTTTACCAATTTGAGCATGTTCCCAGCGGGTGGCATCCGCCGCAGCTGGCCCCGGGCCGCCTCGTGGCGTCTCCTGTTGAGTCGGGCTATAATCCGGGCCTTCTCTTCAGCGGATAACTGCGCACCCATGTACCCCGTGCATCTCGCACTGGGACCTACCTGAGCATTGCTTGATAATCAAATATACAGCTTACAATCAACATCGAGAACAATTGTTAGTGATAAGAACAAGCGGGCAACCGTTGCCCTCAGGAATTGGCGAAGATTATGAGTAACAGGACTTTAAATGAATGAAAACAAAATGGTAACCCCGCCTGCGCTATACGCTAGCGGAGCAGATTAACTAGCCAATCATGATGAATTTTTCAAGAAGTAACCACCATGGTTTGGGCTAAAGGGATTGTTAGTGATGGGGTCTAGTTGACCCATTGCTACCCTGTCAGGTCGACCTCCACGCGGTTTCTCATGGAAACCATCGTAGTTAATCACCATTGTGATTTTATTTTTAATAGGTTACCATTCCATTATCACACATTAAAAATAAATCACCATAGTTTCCAGGAGGTCCGCGTGGAGGTCGACCTAAGGGGATATATTGTTAAAATAGGGGCTTTTAGACCCCATTACTAACAATCCCTTTCACCCGGTAATAGCACTAATATAATCTGTGATATATAATAATATTATCTGTGATAGTATACCAAATTGTTAGTAATATACCTGGTCAGGTCGACCTCCAAACAATGAACCCTGGAAATCATCGCGAACAATTTCAAATGAACAGTTTGTGATGATTAATTTTAAACTTTCGTGTTCGTTTCAAATATTTTAAATTCATAATCAGAATGGCAGACGCCGCCACTGACTTCAGTCGTGGCGTAATCACGACGTGGTACACCTCACTCACTTTACACTCACGTAGAAATTTCTCGAATAAAAATCAGGTATATAGGTACTATTTGCCTGTAATCCTGTCATGGTAAAGCTCGATTGTGAATTTAAGAAATACCTCGGTGAACCGATTGATGTAACTTTAAATAAAAGCGGCTTATAAACTCTGTAAAGCCTGGAGCGCCACTCTGGCACAAATAATAATTGCGTGGTAATAGGGGGTCAACATCTCCCTGAAGAAATGCGGTCAGCAGATGGAACACTAATGACTTTTATGATGACAGTAAAACAAATACACTCGAGATTTGATATATGAGATTTTTTTGTCTTTGTCTTATTCTCAATGTCCTCTACCCAAAGATTGTCTGGAAAAGATTGCTTAGCGATAACGCCGCCTTTTGTATCACTTCTCATTAATATTTACTGTATTTATTATTATTTTTTACTTGGTACAATAAAGTGTAAAATAAAATAAATAAATCTTACAGAATTAAGCTCACCTGTTGTATATCTTTGTTCAAAAGAATTCATATTAATGTAATCTTTCTGTGCTGGGGGAAAGGGATTGTTAATACCGAGGTCAAATAGCCTTATTGCTAGTAATATACCCTGTCAAGTCAATCTCTACGCGGTTCCCCCTGGAAATTGGAATTCATCATGGTGGGCCAACTAACCTGCATTAATTCTCAACTATTGTTTTTCACTGGTGCCCCGCCGGTGTGTACCGATAGCGCGGGCGGGATTACCATTCCATTTTTACCTATTAAAAAAATCTTTATGTGCAATAAAATATAAATAACTAAATAAACTTACAGGATACTGGCAAAACGTGTGAGAATTAGTATGAGCGCACATTTGAGATCCACAGTAATTGACTGACCGACAGACGCACAGGTGTACACAGATAAACAATAGGATCGCTAATCTGCATCGCATTTTACAATTTACTATTAATTTTGTATAACATTTTTAGTTCTGTGCGTGACTTCTTTGAAATTTGGATTAACACTGACAATTTGATTGAGTGGCAAATGTCAAAAGGTTTTTTTTTTATTTATTTGCACCTTTTTTAACTTCGTATAATTAATGTTTACCAGAGAGAGCCTTTGTACAAAAGTCGATTGCTTGGGTACCTCTGTCCCATTCGTGTTTCAACCGTGAAGCAGTTGTATTTGCATGGCTGTGTTTCGGTTTGAAGGGTGGGATATGGCGTGAATTTACTGGGTACAGAGGAATAACACCTGAGTCCTCAGGAATGGCAACGCATGGGAGGTATCATGGGCGAAACAGTATACTCTGTTATGTCCATGCTACTGCTCATGTCTATAGACGACGGTTACCACTTTCCATCAGGTGGATCGTCAGCTTGCTTGCCATTCTAAGTTGTATAAAAAAAATTCTTTATTGAAATGCATGTGTACACACACAAATGCATTACAGGAAGTCAATGCATAGAGCACTTACTCTATGAGCCAGTGTATGTATGGGCCGAGAATCACAGTGGACAGACAATGGCTGATAGGATGATGATGATGATGATTAAAAATTGTCTTCAATCTATGGTTTTTCTGATCTTGAAGACTATACCTCTCTATTACCTTACGGCTTAAATTATACCTACTAGAGGCCTTTCCAAAAACGAAGTGAAGCATACATTCTAATTTACTAACATTATAAAATCGTAACAATGTAAGTGGATATTATCAATAAAACCATTCATAAACTAAGTATTTTTTTTATTAATTTTTTTTTTAAATAAAACAGTCATAGATTTCTTAATAATACATACATACAAAGTTTACACTTAATACAAGAGTAGCTGAGACAATCGATTGTGATACCAATTTAAATCGATCGCTCATGATGTTTTTATCCATTGTACACTAGATGGCGTTTATTAATCACATAACATTTTTAAGCCCTGTCACGCCATGGGTAAAGATCATAACAGTAACCAGGAGCAACATTGAAAAAAAATGTAATTGATAAAAAAAGACAAGTATTTTAGTCTAGAAAAAAGTAGAATATAAATTTTAAAATTGCTAACCTCCTCCCCGCCTACAATTTACCCCCTTCTGTGACAATAAACAGGCGTACAATACTATATAACATATATACATATATGAGAATAGGTCGAAAAGTATATTTCATACCGCCACAAGATTAGGATGTCCTTACCCCTAATTTATATGGCAGAAAGTTTGTATGGTCAGCCGGTGCAAACAATAAATATTTATACATATGTATTTTCATTGCATTTTAACTACTTTTTTAATATATTACATTTATATAAATATACAGTTTTATTTAAATTTACAGCAACTTAATAAATATACAACATCGTTTACAAATATTTTGTTTGAAATGACTACAGCGATTTCTTCGATTAAAAATACTAACTAGATATTCGGTAAAAGCACCAAAAACACATAAGCAAATAACATTTAATTTGTAAAACATTATTTGGTAACTGAAATGTAGGAACACATTTTCAATAGTTTGAAACTGCACATTGTCAATATCATTTAAGTTGAACCTACATCGAAATTATAACATTTTTAAATTCTTTAATCTTACTAATATGAATTTAATTAAATACATATTCATAATTATCCCTCATTGGGTTAAAAGCCAAAACAATAACCTTTAGAAATTTAGTCTGTATACACATAAACTACTGCATCAAATTAGATGCGGTTCTCAGTTAAATAGTTTAAACCTGACATATTCAGTTTGAGCTCGTAATTCTAGGGTTTGCCATTTTTTATGTAAAAAATATAAAAACAGTAAAAAACTAGTAGAAAATGGCACCAAATTACCTTACATAGTATTTACTGACTACGTGACGAGACGGTTGTCAAGTTATATTGAATTTTCTTCAGATATACAATTTGAAAACCAATAAATTATTTTATAATATAAATAAGTTTTAAACATTGATTTTTTTCTTAGATTAACACTTTTAAAACCAATAAATTATTTGATAATATAATAAGTTTTAAAATGTGTCTACTGCCTCTTGGCGCCTTAACAACTCATCCAATCATGTCTCAATGTTAGTTCACGCTAAAATCCGAAACCTTTCAATCGATTTTAATAATAATTTGTTAATGTATACTCCAACTTGAGGTAGAATAATGTTTATTTCAATAGGAAAAAAATAACCCAGTAATTGTAATAGTCAAAACAGTATTTGCCAGGTGAACTAGTCTATATTAATATAATATATAAAAAGAAAATGTTTGACCGTTTGTTTGTAATGGTTTATCCTTTAAAAAACTATTAAATCGATTATAAAATTTCTTCCACCTATAGAAAACTACATTACATAGGCTATATATTATTTTCGACAATTCTGTCTTCCCGGGTGAAACCGGGCGGGATCGCTAGTTTAACACATATGTATGTATATACACAAAATTCTCGTTCAGCGTGATGGTAATTCATGAAACAATGCCACAGTAACTGTAACCTTAAATACACAGCCTAGCTAGATTCCATTTTTGATTTCCAAAGAGCCTAACGTAATTTTTTTTATACCATATTCAGCCAGTACTTTTTAAATCGCCTTGTACAATATGCTGTACTAAAGCAAAAATAATGTTTAGATTACTAATTTCTTACATTTATTACTTGTCATCTTCCCGTGGCGGTAAATAGTACATGGAATCTATAAAGTACTTCGTAATGTCAGACACTAGACTTCTATCGGGCAGCTCTTGTGCCACGCCGTATATCGCCATCTGGAAAATAAGATATAAACATCTAGAAATGCTGTAACAAAAAAAAAAACTACTAAAATCATAAGTTAGAAGTGAAATTTCGCGCGCGTGTGTGCGTATGTGTGTGTGTGAGTGCGCGCGTATGTGTGTGCAAGTGCTTGTGTGTATGTAAGTACGTACCTTTCCTTCGACAGGCTCGGAAGCGTGCTGCCTACAGTGTGCGACCGCCTCACGAACGTCGCGTACGAAACGCTCCGCCACGCCCGGAGCTGTGTGCGCATGTGTGATGCAAATGTGCACTCTGACAACAAGAACATACGGTTCACAATACTCTTTCACTGTTTAAACATTTATAAATTAATCCTAATAATATTATAAATACGAAAGTTTGTAATGATAAATAGAAAGATAGATGTTTGTTACTCTTTCACACAAAAACTACTGAACGGATTTAAATGAAACTTAATGCACCAGTAGTAACTTAATATACAAGATGAAAGGGACAGCTGTTTTTGTTTTGACCTACCTGACCCTTCCAAAATTATTTCCAAACTGATTCAGGCGGGCAGAGAGTCATAGATAGAGATACAGCTAAACGAGTAATTCGATTTTGTTGAAATTTTGTGCACATTATTTAAAAATCCCATGTCATGATGTTTATTCGTTGACCAATTTTTAATAAATTAGAAACATGAAATGTTACACATACCCAGATGGAAACTGCAACGCATTCAAACTCCATCCCTTTTTGTGCAAGTAGTCGGCCAGTTTGAATATGTCGAATACTTTAGAACCGAACGCTATCACAGTGGTCGCGGGCTTGCCAAATATGAAGATATCGTCCACTTTACGGAGTCTGGAATGAATATGGTAGTTTGATTAAAGACCAAGTAGTTTTTTTTTTATTCAATTCAACTTGGAATGGCAAACAAGCTGACGGTCCACCTGATGGAAAGTGGCAACCGTCGCCTATAGACATGAGCAGTACCATGGACATAACAGAGTATACTGTTTCGCTCATGATACCCCCCATGCGTTGCCATTCCTGAGGAGTCAGGTGTTATTCCTCTGTACCCAGTAAATTCACGCCGTATCACACCCCTCAAAACCGAAACACAGCCATGCAAACACAACTGCTTTACGGTTGAAACACGAATGAGACAGAGGTATTGAAGCAAATGACTTTTTTACAAAGTCTCCCTCTGATAAGTAAGGTTAGTGAAATCATTAAAAAAAATTACTCATACAGGGGGAAGCGCCCTCTCGTGTCACTCCAAGCCACAATTTGTCATAAGTTCAAATATGTCACAACATGAAAACATAAATTCATTCTAAATCTTTATAAGAAAATATAGAAATGTGAGCCTTAAAAAGGATTAAAATATATTACAATTATGGCAAAATTTATATTAAACCAACATGAATGGATGATTTTTTTAAACAATAGAATTATTAAAATCGCTTCAGAATTGACGATGATATCGCGATTAGCGTAACATATATACTTTTGACACCAGTGTGTCGCCCTCTGGTGTCAAAAGTTTGTAAGTATTCGACGCGACAACCCGACACTAGTAATAACAATAGCTATTATACAGGGTGAAATCAACAGGGTGTAAATATTATGCGTTCAGCTGTCAAGTTAGTATATGTTTATATTGTGTACCACATATTTTTTTATTAGGAAAAAAATTCAAATTCAATCAAAATAAAATCAAAGTCTCTTAATAAGATTTACACACACATAAATGGTCACATGTGTAAAAAACACATGTGACCACACTATCCAGGGCAAATCCAGGGATAAAATAGTCCATGGATACGACCAACTGAAAAGACAATGTTCTACTCTCAACAGTCGACTTTCTCTCTCTCTCTGATCTAATAGAATGCGTACTGACTCGCTCTCGACGTATTTGGTGGTGGTGAGTATCTCATCGGCCATCCGGACGTAGCGATCGCGGCCCACGAACACCATGGTGGCCCAGCATGCAGCGATCAGGCCGCCCGCGCGGCTGCCTGCCAACACAAACATATACTAAAAATAACTTATACTAATAAATGCTGTTTACCTCCATGTTACGTCATCATACATTCCAGATCGTTTCGATCGCGTAATAGCAGACAAAAATATGACATTTTGGGGTCTATATTTTTTGTCAAATTGACCGCCTACCGCTTTTAAAAATAACATACTGCTTCTAAAACCTGGGAATGGTATTAAATAAAGCATATTTTTCTATATTGTCAAATAACCTGTTTACTACTCTCGCTTACACTGCGCCGAAGATCAGTACATAGCGTGCGGTCTATTCGGATATTAACTTTTATTCTATTCGGTTGCCGATCTTCGATCGACGGAAGATCGGCGACGACGCATTGCATGTATTATGTCGTACTACGCGTTGGTTAATGCGACCAAAGACACGCTGAATACTGGTGCTACAATCATTCTATCATGTGCCCGACTAAACTATTTATAATTGTTTCTCTCGGTCCAAAGGTTGCCTGGAAGATATCGCTTTTAACGATAAGGCCGCTCGTTTTTTATTTAGTGTAATCTTTTCTTATAATTTCTTTTTTGTATTTTTACTAAGTTTACTGCAATCGATTAAAAAAATACTTAATTTTGGAGGGGACAATAAAGAATATCTATCTACGTTCGGCTGCCGATCTTCGAAGTAGTCTCAATACCCTATGGTGAAACAATGTCGTAAAATCTACAATACACACCATTGACCGTTGGCGAGCCATAAACACCACCAGGCCATTCAGTGGTGACCGTGTACTGATGGTGTCTGTACTCCGGCTTGCGGTACAGGATCACCGATGTGCCTTTAGGAGCGAAGCCATACTGTAAATATGAAAAAGTCAAATTGCAGGACTATGATGTTAGTTCTCTGATCCTTAGCCACAGAAGCTAAACACAGTAGGTAAGTAATGTATAGGGCAGTGATTTTTAATTATAATTAGACATAAGAATTTTATACTGTAACTTTGAATTTAATTAGTTTTAACAAGATTTCGTATATTTTGAGTCCTCCGGTTGTCGTCCTCATAATTAGTGTGTAACCAATCTCTGTGGGGGGAAAGGGATTGTTAGCAATAGAGTTTGACAGCCTCATTGCTAGCAATATGCCCTATTAGGTCGACCTCTCTACGTGGTTCCCCCTGGAAACCAGAGGGAGACTTTGTACAAAAATCGATTGCTTGGGTACCTCTGTCCCATTCATGTTTCTACCGTGAAGCAGTTGTTTGCATAGCTGTGTTTCGGTTTGAAGGGTGGGATATGGCGTGAATTTACAAAGTACAGAGGAATAACATCTGAGTCCTCAGGAATGGCAACGCATGGGGGGGTATCGTGGGCGAAACAGTATACTCTGTTGATGTCTATAGAGACATGGTACTGCTCATGTCTATAGGCAACGGTTACCACTTTCCATCAGGTGGGCCGTCAGCTTGTTTGCTATTCTAAGTTGTATAAAAAAACAATCGTGAACAAATTTTGTTGAATTTGTCACGATAGGCCAACTGACCTGCTTTATCCTCACCTATCATCTTTCGCTGGTGCTCCACCAATGTATATCGATAGCACAGACAGGGTTATCATTTCATTATTATCTGTTAAAAAAAACCGACCTCTGTACCAACTAAGCAATATACAATATGGCACAAACCTTATGCGTATCAGCGGATATGCTGGCAACACCGGGCAGCCTGAAGTCGAACACGGGCACGCTGTGGCCGGCGTCCGGCATGAAAGCGGCTACGAATCCGCCCAGGCACGCGTCCACATGCAGCGGCACGTCATACTCTAGCGCGATGTCGGATAGGGCATTTATGTCGTCCATGGTGCCGTATGGGAAGTTTGGCGCCGATCCCACTATCTGTGAAAAAATCAAACCACTTGATCCTTAATCTATTTTTTTTTATGATAATAGAATGGTAACTCCGCCTGCGCTAAGGGTATACACTGGGCGGGGCACCAGTGAGGGATGATAGGTGAGGATAAAAGCAGGCCAATAAGCCCATCCAGGTTTCCAAGGAGAACTGAGTGGAGATGGACCTGATAGGGTATATTGTTAACAATAAGACTATTATTTTTTGTAATATATTCTTGAGTGGCGACCCTGTACAGACAAACGCAGTGTAGGACAACCCCCACTAGATGGAGTGACAAACTCAAATGCATTGCAGAATGTCAGTGGATTCAAGTGGCTCATTCCTTCTGGGAATCTATAAGAGAGGTCTAGTCAGTGGAGTGGAGTTCAGGTGCCTCAAGACCATTCCATCTGACAGTCTATAAGGGAGGCCTATGTCCAGCAGTGGAATGATAATGGCTGATACGATGATGATGATGAAGTGACCATAAACTAAAACGTACCAAACAAGTTCTCCTGCCAATAGCCTTCTTCACCGCATTAATATTCACCGTCAGTGTATCAGGATCGACCGGTATAGTCTTAACCGAGAGGCCGAGATACTGTGCCGCCTTGTCGAATGCCGAATGTACAGTAGAGGGCACCACTATCTGTGGGTTCGATATGCCTTTACTGTACGCGAGGTCCCTGAACGCTTTGCACGCCATTATTATCGACTCCGTGCCGCCGGTAGTTACCTGTTGATGAAAAAAATTACCAAATCAAAGTTAGCCAATAAATGTACTAATTAATTTTCAACCGACTTCAAAAGAGGGGAAAGGGGTTTTTTAGCAAAGGAGTTTGACAGCCCCATTGCTAGCAATATACCCTATCAGGTCGACCTCCACGTGGTTCCCCTTGCAAACCATCGTGAACAATTCTTGTTGAATTCGTCACGATGGGCTAACTGGCCTGCTTCATCCTCAACTATCATCTTTCACTGGTGCCCCGCCGGTGTAAACCTATTGCAACTAAGCTATCTTAGCTTTTCCTCCAGATGACACGCAAACTGGACGTCGCTAGATATATCGACGCCAAGAATCCCCAGAAAACTTATTATCAAGATAGCACGGGTGGGGTTACCATTCCATTATCACCCATACAAAAAAAACCGACTTCAAAGTCCTCTTTGGTTCTCAATTTATTTTTCAATATTTGTTACCTTACTACCGTCAGTTCTAAATCGATTCGGAAAATTCTTTTTTTATTTAAAAGGATATATTATACTTACAGATTGGTTTCATATAAATTTTATCAAAAACAGTTCAATAGTTTAGTTTTTAATTAAATCAAAATAAATGATTTTACAATTGCAATCAGTCTTTTTTTTGGGTCAATCAATGTTTGATTTTCTTTTATGAAACTATAGACACTTCGATTCGGCCGTTCTAAATTCAAATATTTACAATCTAATGAACTAGTCGTAGTAGTCTATAAAACATCATTTATTGGGGTGTTTTGTAAAAACAAGATATATTTTCACCAGAAGAAGACTTTGTACAAAAGTCGTTTGTTGGGTACCTCTGTCCCATTCGTGTTTCTACCGTGAAGCAGTTGTGTTTGCATGGCTGTGTTTCGGTTTGAAGGGTGGGATATGGCGTGAATTTACAGGGTACAGAGGAATAACACCCGAGTCCTCAGGAATGGCAACGCATGGGGGGTATCATGGGCGAAACAGTATACTCTGTTATGTCCATGGTACTGCTCACGTCTATAGACGACGGTTACCACTTTCCATCAGGTGGGCCGTCAGTTTGTTTGCCATTATACATTGTATAAAAAAAAAAAAACTGTTTTTTATTTATTTTACAGTTTATTGTACTTGTTACTTTTTAGTTATTGTACTTGTTATTGTGGAATGTAATACTTTATCAACATACAATGTGTTTGGTACGCCCGTACTTGTGAATTGCGATGTACTTAGAATTCTATTTACAATACTAACTAACGCTAATTATCTCGCCCCGTCTCCGAGCAAAGCAAATTAGCCTTGGAATAAATGATAAACGTTTACTTGACCGCATGTATGAGGATTTTTGTAGGTGATTATCAAATTGGATGAGCGTATTAAATTGTTGCATGGCAATAGCATTTGTGTAGGTATTTTGACGTAATCTTTGACGTCATATCGATACAAATCATGCTACTTGAATAATCATTGTCAACATCTTAGCTGTTAACTATTGAACATATGCATCCCCCATAAGGGGGTCTTGCCAATTGTTGCCACACTTAGTAGGCGGGTTGGCAAACGCAGTTAGGCTTTGATGTTTAAAAAGGGAAGCTGCTACCCATCCCTAGAACCATAAGTTTCCATAGTCTCCCTTAGTCACCTCTTACGACAAGCACTGGAAAGTCAAAGGTGACCCCTTCTATGCCGAGAGGACACAGTGAATTATTACGTACATAATTTTATTTCAAATACTTATACTTAATTACTATAAGTATAGTTCAACTATTTTTATTATATAGGGCTTCTATTATAGGACCACGGATCTTATTACAAGCGTTTAAAACCTGACAACTTTACAGATTAAATTAAACTAAGATATTAGTAATTAATCTAAGAAGTTGCCCTACAAATTGGAATTTTGTACAAAGTCTACCAGAGGAAGACTTTGTACAAAAGTCGATTGCTTGGGTACCTCTGTCCCATTCGTGTTTCAACCGTGAAACAGTTGTTTGCATGGCTGTGTTTCGGTTTGAAGGGTGGGATATGGCGTGAATTTACTGGGTACAGAGGAATAACACCTGAGTCCTCAGGAATGGCAACGCATGGGAAGTATCATGGGCGAAACAGTATACTCTGTTATGTCCATGGTACTGCTCATGTCTATAGGCGACGGTTACCACTTTCGATCAGGTGGGCCGTCAGCTTATTTGCCATTCTAAGTAGTATAAAAAAAAATTAAAAGCATAGACAAAACAGGACAATTTGTAATCATTTGACTGAAACCTATCAAGTTTTAAAAAGTATATAAACCCCAAGCATTGACATCTCCAGGATCAAGTTCAGGTGTAAAAAAACCTTTTTAAAGTCAATTTCACTAATTGAATTGAAGTTGAAACTCACCGTACCGCAGCAATCGTCGTCACCATGAAATAAATTGACAGCCATCCTCACAATCTCCGCCTCCATCTTGTTGATGCCCGGGAACACGTCGGAGTGCAGAGGGTTCGTGTACGCGGTGAGAGCGTACGCAGCGCAAGCAACCTTCACGATCTCCTCGTTCACGTGGTACACTGCACCGGATACATTGCCGTTTTTCCAATCATATGCACCTGAATGACAATTTTTTTTTATATGTAGAATTACAAAGAACCTTTGTTGAGGAAATATTATCATACTTCTAAACATAATAAGGCCGTATTTTGTATCACTTCTCATTAAAATTAAATGTATTTACTATTTTGTTAATGATGCAATAAAATATAAAATAAATAAATAATACTACACTCACCCAAGCTAAGATGATCCCTAACTTCTTCGGCTATCTGCTCAGATGTCAGCCCTTTCTCAGGCAACTCTCTCCTGATTGTCATGCCAGCTAACCTCTTGGACACATCTTGTTTGAAACCCACATTGATATCTGATATCTTCTCTTCTATCTTCCTTCTAACTATAGGTATTTGTCGAAGCCATCTGAAGAACTCTCTGCGTAATCTTGTTTTAATACCTACATCACATTTATAATAACATTAAAATTAACAAAGTTAAAGCCCCTTGTGATCTTGGCATAAAATGGGCCACCACTCCCTTCCCTATTAGTGTTGTAATAGGCGATTAAAGTACATAAGCCTAATAACGGTTGCAAGGGGGAAAGGGATTGTTAGTGATAGAGACTGAGAATCTCATTGCTAGCAATATACCCAACCAGGTCGACCTGCTACGGTTCGCCCTGGAAACTATCATGGTTAATTCCTGATGAAACGCACAACGGCCCAAATGAGAGGCTAAGTGCGGAAAACAGAGTCTTTCTTACAATTCCTGATGAATTCATCATGATGGGCTAACTGGCCTATTTTCATTCTCGTCTATCACCCTTCACTAGTGCTCTGCCAGCATATCCCGTTAGTACAGGCGAGGTTACCATTCCATTTTCACCCATAAAAAAAAACGGTTGCCAGGGGGAGGGGGGAAAAATTATTAGTAATGTGGATTGCCACTCCCCTTGCTAACAAAGATTATTATTATTATTCCATCTATAATTTCACTACCACATCCTATTATTCAAACTGGAACTATAAGTAACTGGTTTTACAGTAAAAAAATCTGTTTTGTACAATATATTGTGTCTACTTAATTTATGTGGATGGCAACCCTAAACATGATGAGTAATGGTATAAACAAATAAATACTTACTATCTTTTGCATTGTATAGACTGTGTGCCCACACTACAGCAAGCACTGATGATGCAGTCATGGTAACAATTTGCCATGGCTCTCTGCCTTCAAACAGTTTGTTGATAGCTTTAAATGGTTGCCGTTGTTCACTCATAGCTAATGTCTAGCAGCAACCTGTTACAAATGTGCCAATTAAAAAAATTAATTAATATGACAGACCAGTGTTGAATTGCAAATAGCTATTTCATTAATATTATCAAAAAATTGATTAGATATAATAACTTTGTATCTAATCTATGCTATATGTAAGCATTGTATTATTATTAACAATATATGAAATGTCTGCTACAATAAGCATATCTTATTGGTACCTAACTACTGTAATGACTTTATACAAAACATCTTTTGTTCCCTTATCAAACAAAGATAGAAGACAGTTTTTTTAACACTAACATGCCAAACAATCTGATAATAAACTATTGTATTGTGTAAATATTTTTACTCATTATAATATAAATGTATATTAACTATGTTTATAAGAAGAAGAGAAGAGCAAAACTGATGACACCAAAGCCAAATAATAATTGATACAAGGGTATAAAGATGGTGATGATGATATTAGATTATAAATTAAATTTATTTAGCATTAATTAAATTTAAATACAAAAAAAAATATCGTCAAATAAACCAGTCATAATCACTATGAAATTAGATAAAAAACATTTATTTATAAAATTTACTTGAAATCTTAAAGTGGTTGCAAAATTCTTATCACATAATATATATAAATTGAAATTATAAATTGATTAGAGATAATATATTACAATCAATTTGACTATCAATTTATGGATGATACAATTAAATTCTATAATTATAATACAAATTAATGACAATAGAAGAATATAAAGACTAATTGCGGTTATACAAAGTAGTGATGATAACATTCTCTTTATGGACACTTACAAATGGACATAAACAGTTGTCTTTCAATGTAAATAGTAGTAGTGGCAGTGGTCTTTGGTCTTAAAACATTAACACACTTTATAATAATCTGAATTAAAGAAAATATTGCAAACAATATCCTCGGTAGTCTTTTTTAGACTTATTTAGACCTAGATAAGAAATAATATTTACTGTATAAAGGTATGATAAAATTTTACGTCTGAAATAATATATTATTTATTTTAATGATAAAATTTTTAAATAACTATACCCTACATACTACACTGTCATTGGACAGAACATACATTCTGAAATTCTATTCTGACATTGACATCGGAAACAGTGATAGTGATGTAATCGGAATTTATTATTGATTATAAAATTTATTTAACTTTATATTAAAACAATCGTAAATGTAATTGTTATCAATATTTTCGTAATTTCATATTAGGTCAAAATTAAAGCATATTAGCGGCATCATCTGTAATCATTATTTTGGCATGTCACGAAAAAGCGGCACCAAAAAAAAAAATATAAATTAAACTAACTGTAATTATTTTTAAATTTAATTTAGTATTCACCTCAGAATATAAATATATATCCTGTAAGTCTTATTTAATAATCGATTATAAAATTAAAAAATTAATTTAATAATCAGAATATTAGTTATTTTAACCAAAAATTTTTATAATACTTGTCTATCAAGCGATTTGAATCAAGCTCATATCTCGCATTTCTAGCATCGAACCCGATAAAAAACAGAACAGCTTCATTTCTAAGAACAAATACTCATTTTCTCTATTTTACTTTTTAGCAGCATAAGTTTTATATACTTAACTCAATCAACTGACCGATTATGGTCTCTTTAAACGAGTAGATAGTACCGCACCAAGGAAAAACAGCTGTTGTCGATATGAGTCATCAACCTCCAGTTTCCTGTATACCAAACACAGCAAAAATGTCGAAAGCGAAAAAAGTAATAGAAGAAGCAAGAGAAATTAATAATCCTGAAATAGATTTGGTTGATAAAGGCATATCTAACCTCGAAGAAGTGCCTGGATTGTGTAAGTAGTTCACTACAAACAGGTTTTCGCTATAAATGGAACAAGTTTCTCAACTTGTACCTACTTGTAATGTGTTCATTGCTATTTTTATTTTTGATAAATAAATTCATTGCACTCATTTACCTGTATAACTAATATTTAAGTTATGAAAACGTTGACCTATTTTGTTTATTATTAGTTTAAAATATTATTTTTCTATTGCCCAATATTTTTATTTTATTTACAGTCAATCTTGCAAACATAACACGATTATCCCTAAGCCACAACAAAATAAAGACTGTGCCAGCTGCTTTGGCCAATTTGATGAATCTGGAGATACTGAATTTTGCAAACAATCATATAGAGGAACTGCCTGTTAGCTTGTCATCATTGCCCAAGCTCCGCATCCTTAATGTCTCACTCAACAGGTTATACAGTCTGCCCCGAGGTTTTGGAGCTTTCCCTGCTCTGGAAATACTGGACTTGACATATAATAATCTCAATGAAAAAGTTTTACCTGGGAATTTTTGTATGATGGGTATGTAGAAATTATTAAACTTATCAGAAAATTAGCTTTTTTTTACAGTGAAAAAGTATCTATTAAGAGTATCACTCATTTTGCAACACTATAGAAATGTAACATCACCATCACAATATCAGCTGTTAACTGTCTACTGCTAAACATAGCCCTCCCCCTTGGGGGGCTTTGCCAGTAGTTGCTATTCTTCGCAGGTGAGCTAGCAACTGCAAGCTTTGGTGATGTTTTAAGAGGGATGCTGTTGCCCATATCACAATCATTAAATATATTTGAATAGACACATATATTTGAACTTAGATTTAAATAGTTTAGTGTAAACTACTAGTTTTCATGCAATTGAAGTTATTTGTATTTTGTAAATCTTTGTTACAGAAAGTCTCCGAGCATTGTATTTAGGAGATAATGATTTTGAATACCTCCCACCAGAAATTGGGAATCTGAAGAATTTACAAATTGTGAGTATTGAATACATTTTTAACTATTTCCTTAGTATTTAAATAATTGACTACAATGTGGTTTGTATGTTCTGTTTATGGGTAAATAGCTTGTTATTAGCACATAAAAAGAGGAAAATTCTACTTAAAATTATAATACCTACAATGGGTATGTTGATAATTAAACATTTATAGGAAGATTTATTATAGTATATATTTTATTTAATTTATTTTAAAAGTTTAAAATCTTGGTGGGAGTAGAGAAAAAAATAGATTTTTATTTTATTTCTTTTTTAACATTTCTTGTTTATTTCTTAAGTTAAGAGATTTTCTTAATTGTGTTTTCACTGAATAAGAGGCTGTACTTGTTATAAAAATGAAGATAGAAGTGTATATAAAATTGGAGATCTTAATTGACAGACTCTTAACACTTACAAGCGAGTTACCATTCATTAATAGTATTGGCGAACTTAAAATTACTTTTCAGGATGGCCCTGACCCTTTTTTAAAGGGTCTGGGCCACCCTTTTTTAAAGGGTCTGGAAAGTAGAAAGGGTAAAAAAGTCCTTGGATAGTTTTGCTTGTTTCTTGGTGTGTGCGCAGCCTTCCCTTCCCAATCTCCCTCCCCCCCTTAAATATGATTATGATGAATAGTAACATGTTATATGTTTCTCATATATGCATAAGTAAATTTATCAAATTGTTTCATTTACAGCTCTCATTAAGGGAGAATGACCTTATAGAGGTACCTCGTGAGCTGGGGCAACTGACCCGGCTGAGGGAACTGCATTTGCAAGCCAATCGTCTGGTTGTATTGCCTCCAGAAATTGGTCAGTAATCTTGACTTTATATACATTCGTTTTTAATATTTTATTAATATTATTTGTAATTAAAAATTTATGTATTTTAATAATTTAAGATAAAGATAATTGAAATCATTTAACAAAATTGTTTCATAAAAAACTAAATCAAGCAGCTGGAGTGAGAGACTTAGTGTGCAAAAAGGAAACCAATACATTTACAACTTGTCACGCAAATATGAAATGAATACAAAAATTCAATAGAAAAAAAAAGTTATTAATGTAGTTTAGAAATAGTGAAGTGTGAATAGTAAATTTCATTTTTGAAAATATTTATTCACATTTGATACATAAGATATATAAGAATATGATTATTCCTTAATACTAATTTCCACCAATAAATACTATTTCAATTAATATCTGAGGGAATTTAATAAACAATTATAGTTTTTTTTTTATTTTTATGTTCAGGTACATTGGATCTGGCCAGTAATAAATCAGTATTAAGATTGGAGGGAAATGCTTGGATTCCACCAATTGAAGATCAGATCAACTTGGGACCATCTCATGTGTTGGACTACCTGCGTTCAGAGACCTACAGAGTGTACGTGTACAAATAAACATATTGTATGATTTAAACTATGATCCAGTTTGGATTCGTAGGGGTAAAAAAAATATCAATAATAATATATAGCCTATGTTACTCTCTGATAATGTAGCTTCCCATTTTTACCATTGTGATTAATTCTTGTTGAATTCGTCACAATGGGCCAACTGACCTGCTATCATCCTTATCTATTATCACTGGCCTCGCCAGCGTAAACTGATAGCACAGGCGGGGTTACTGTTTCATTTACATCTATTAAAAAAATACGCCTATGCATATACCAGTGTAAATTCCCGTGTAGTCCCGGTATAGAATAGGCCTCCTTCCTTTCCCGTGGGTGTCGTTAGAGGCGACTAAGGGAGAGAGAGAGGGATGGGCAGCATCCCTCTTAAAACATTTCCAAAACCTAACTGCAGTTGCCACCCCGCCTGCCAAGCGTAGCAATCACTAGTAAAGCTCCCCAAGGGGGAGGTTTATGTTCAGGAGTGGACAGTTAATGACCAATATAATAATAATAATAATGTACCATTGATATATGTAATCGATTTGCAGTTTGTACAGCCGCCACATGTCCGCCAAGCCGCCGCCACCGCCGCTAGCAGTGGACAAGAACAAGAAGGCCAGCCGTGCCAGATCTTAATCCAATACGTAGTAACCTAATAATGAATGTGTCATATTTACTAATTGCTTGAATGATATATTAATATAATGACTTGATATGTTATTAATACGGCCTTCAGCAGCGAGTAGTGCAAGACACAAATTGGACGATCAGATGTACCAATTGATAGATTCATTTATCATTAATCCATAGGGCTAAGGACTATTACGTATGTATGGTCCTACGGCCGTAGTCTATCTAGCGACCGATGACGAAGAAGTCTCTGGTCACAGTTCCATTTTCGAAAGTATCAGTTTCGAATACGTTGCGTCTTGAATGCTCTTTATTCTTGATTACCCAATATCTATGGTATCCTCTCCCGCCCTTTATACTTCAATACCCTATAAAACGTAAAATGAATTACCGATATTATGTAATTATGCATAATAATATGTATAGGTGGAACACTCGTATTGTTGCGTTTGTAAACGCCGTTTCTAGGCCATTTCACCATCGCGGCTTTTGCTACGTCAAGTATACATTCATATGAATAACATGAATGATGAAAAAAAAAATTAAAAAATTAATTATTATTCTAACATCTGTAATATTTGTTGAAATTTGCACTGCCAATTTAAAGCACAATAGGAGCTAAGTAAATATTATAAATTGTCTTAGATATCCTAAAAACATTTCTATTTCTAAATAAATAAAGAGATAAGAATGTCCTGCTAACGTTGACCATTAAAAAAATCTATGTCAATTTGTGTTGTCCTAATTTAATATTGTAATTTTTAAACTATCTATTTGCTGTATGAAATAAGGAAAGCAACTATGTTATGAGATTTTTTTATTTCATCACACAAATCAAAATATTTTTTATTTTATTACATTACGTACAAGTAAAAAAATCAAACATACAACAATATCAACATTATAGAACAATTCATATTATATTATTAATTACAATAAGTGCACTTATTAACATTATTAAGTTACATTTAATTGTTTAAATTGAGCGCTATTAAGAATAGTTATAGAAAATAAAGAAAAAAATATATAAATATGAACTAACCAATGTATAATACGAGGTGCTATGCAATATCTAAATGTTGTTAATTAAGCTAATATTATTTTTGATAATCCTGAATTTTAATTCGTTTAACAAAACATGTATTTAATATACTATATATTGTGATGATGTTATTTTATAAAATATGAATAAAATTATTACTAACAATATTGTCAATTTATTTGTGAGTTCTTGATACTGCAATTTGTCATATAACATACATTTTCTGTGTAGTTCTACAATAATATATAGAATTAACTACTATAGTATATATATATTATTAATGTGTATAAGAAAAGAAAATTAAAAAGTTTTCTAAAATATAGGGATCTAAGGAACAGATTGGTAAAGATGGAAACAGTAAATTCAAACCATTATTCTGAACTAAAAACCAGTGGAAATTCTTCCTAGAATATTTACAAGTCTTTTTTTTTATTTAAAATTAAGACATAAAGAAATAATATTTTATAGTGAAAAACTAAAAAATACCAGAGACAATGTAGTATTCGTATTAAAATCCTACTGCGACCCGCGATATCGGCTATGTACAGGCAACGCCACAAGCGTACGAAACTACCTACGCAGAAACACCATTGACCGTGCTATGTAGATATCGGGAGTCGTGTGTATCGTAAAATTTCAAATACATTGCGGCGTCAAAACTAAGAATAGTTTTGGCTGTGGTACATTTTCGGTGGGAAAATAATCTGCTATCTGATTCAAACAATTCATCTGAATCAGCTGTTTTTGTTTTGGCCAACCTATCCCTACCACCCTATATATTTCATGGATTAGGTCTATATAACAAGAAGTGAATATTTTTTTATATTTTTAAAGACTAAACAATAAGAAAACATTTTGAATAAGAAGATTTTGGAATATAACAGATTGAAATCTGTTATACTCAAAAAATATGACAGATTTCAGATATGATGACCTCTTGGAATATGACAGATTGAAATATCAAAAAAGATTTACCTTATATTTCATATACTGCCTTGCCACGGTCATCCAAGTCTAAAATGTACATTATGAAAAAAAAGCGATTGTAGTTAAAGTTCTGACTTAAAGTTACATGAAATTTATATATAAATATCTAACGTAATTCATTTATGAAGATTTAAAAAAAAAGTATATAGAGTAGGGCTACAAAACATAAGAATTACACTGGTAGCTCGTAACTCATATACGTTAACTAGAATTCGCGTGGCATCGCATTATAGCATTTGTTGTACCAAAAATATATATATAACACGCTTATGTGGCACATGGCTATGCCCTGTCGATTTATATGGCTCATATTTACAGAACAAATCAGTTTCTAGAGATTCGATTGAAGTAATTACCCAAACCACTCACGTCTTTAAGACAGGTAAACAAAAATAATATTCTAAAACGTACTATTGTATATTAGGAACAAATTATTTTCGTAGGACACTATATAGTAATTACCCACTGTTATCAATTTTAGAGAGCTAATGAAGTCGATTCTGAAGAGCCTTTTACTAAATCTTTTTCTAAAAAAATCTCTTTTTAAAAAAGACATCTTTATTGCAAGAACCAATATGAACTAAATTTCTAATAGATTTAAGTCAAAACTAATATAAATTTCATTTATGATGGCCCACAAAACAGTAATTTCACGAAATTATCGAATTAAAATGTTAACAGAAATGATCCCTCAGAATCGATCTCAAGAGCATAAAATATTTTAATGATAATAAATCACCAACATATTGAAAATCACAAACGGTAAAATATATTTTTGTCAATAGCCACCATATTTATTCTGTCGTCATATAGCCTATATTTCTCTCTCTTTCCAATAATTAAAGAGCGGCATAAGACAACGAGCAATTTTCCCTTTGCGTAAGCTATATAATGGCTCGACACATATGGGTTCGCAACATGTAAGGATCTTATTATGACCTGACTAAAAATTACACCAAAATTTATCTCTCGTTAGATTAAAAAAAAAAAATTACTATAAACTAAATATCCCTCGTTGGCACACAATAAAACCTAATGACATTCTTGTAAATCCAGTAAGCCATTTAGGCCATATTGAAACATGTATGCAATAAACATCTTTCATATTCTTCATCTCAGATCCTTTATGGTTTAATAGCTGGATATCTTTGCATACATTGTACATTCATATATATTGATTAAGAGATTATATTCTTCCACAATTAGTACAAACTATATTAAGTAGTTACAAACAATAATATTAAATCGATTACATAAACTGAGAAAAATCCGCATAAATATAAGTTCAAGCCAAATCATTGTATTTTAAAAACAATAAAATTAATAACAATATGAAACACTTGAGATCTGTGCAATCGAATCTTTTAAAATGAAACATCTTGTTTAAAAAAAAATACCACACCATTTAATAGCATCACATTATCGATCCAGCCCTAATTACCTTAGTGCGTGTACTAGGAGCATTGGTGTATTTTTTTAGAGAGGGAGGACTAATGCTCATATAAAGAGACACATATATATAGATAATCAAAGACATCATCCCCCCGCCCCTCCCGGTAAAGTGAAGTTCAAATCTCGTCATACTCTGAGGAGTCATCATCTGATATATCAAGGTTTCGCGTCGAGTTGGCCACCGGCGCCGGCTTCCTGCTCCTGTCGAGGGAAAACGCGTACGACTCGTAGTCCAGTATCTCTTCATCGCTCAAATGCGAGTTGCCCTCCACGAAACTAGCGAATCTGAAATGTTTGCGTTTCTTTTAATAGATTTTGTATCCAACTTCCAAATTTTTTTTTTATTTGTATAAAATTGTTGTCTAAGTTGTCTTAGAATGGCAAATAAGCTGACGGCCCACCTGATGGAAAGTGGTAACCGTCGCCTATAGATGTGAGCAGTACCATGGACATAACATTCAGTTCGCTAGACGTTTTGTAGTAAGGTAGACGTATTGTTTGTATACGCGGAATAATAGCATTTTATAATGTACGAGTGCGTGGTCTAAGTTATTAAGAGATGGCGGATAATATAATAATTAATGAACTTTTAGCATTTATTCAAAACAAAATAGACATTTTGGATGAACTTAGTATCATGCAAATATGTGCTTCGAATTATTCAGATTCTGAAATTGAAACGGGGAAAAATGTATTGTATTGTGCGTGTGGAAATGGATCCAGGAACATTCACAGAAAGGGCGACGACAAGAAGAAGAAAAATGTGAAAGATATCATTATAGTGCTTAAAGAAGTGGATCCAGACAAACAACCAATTTTCGTTGCGCGTGACCTAAGTCGCCTACCGTCTGTAACCTTTGACTATGTAGATGTGACTCGTCTATTGAAAGATATGTCTATGATGCGAACAGAATTAAATGAATTTCAGACGAAAGTTAGCTCCGAGTTAACTGAATTACACTTATCAATGACGATAAATAAGCAAGATAAAGACACAAGGATAAATAGCAGTCCGACGACTCCGACGAGAAATAGGAGTATTAATGCAGAGCTTCGCCCGCTACCGCCTGTCGTTGTGCCGTCGCCGGTGCACGGCGGCACGCTGGACGTGGCCGACACCGTTCATACACCGACCTATCGTGATATTGTTCACCGGACACTGTCGAGTCAAACGAAAAGCGCTCGTAAGCGGCACCGCATACATGGTACAATATCGCCTGCGAATGCAGTGACTGGGAAGTGTGGAGTGGTTGCGCAGTTAATGTCGAAAAATATGGTAATACCTACATCTAATGAGACTCTTGAGAACAACAATAGTGAGCAATTCACTATTGTTAAATATAAAAAACGTAAACAAAAACTTATTAATATGCGTGGTACTTTAGAAAATACGGCTAAAATTCAAGTAGCTGAATCACAGTGTTCGATTTATATTTCAAGGGCATCAAAAACTGTTACGGAGTCAAATATAAGGGCTCATATTCAGGATATGGGGGAAGAATGCTTTAATGTTGAGCTACTCAAACAAAACCGAGAGACGTCATTTAATTCTTTTAAGGTTAAAATATCAAGTAATAAAATAAATACCTTCCTAAATTCTAGTTTCTGGCCAGTAGGATTGGTATTTCGACGTTATCGAGAACGAGTGATTCGTACCGCTTCTAATAACACACTTTATGGATAAATCTAACAAGATATCTATATCCATGGCTACTTTTAATTGTAGATCGATAAAGAGATCTGTTAACCAGATTAGAGATTTGTGTAAGAGCGTTGATATCCTAGCGTTGCAGGAAACATGGTTGCTTCCTCATGATCTTAATTTTGTGAATGAGATTGACAGGGACTTTGGATGTTTTGCAAAGTCGTCTGTGGACACATCCGTTGGGTTATTGAAAGGCCGACCCTATGGAGGTGTTGCACTGATGTGGCGTAAGTCTGTTTTCTCGAAAGTGTCTATTATAGAGTGCCCTAGTGACAGACTGGCTGCTGTGCAAATTAATGTCGATGGGCATAGTATTGTCGTGATATGTGTTTATCTACCATATGATGAGGGAAGGGAAGAGAATTTGCTAGAATTTACTAACTGCTTGGGAAGTGTACAGGCGATAATAAATGACGCAGAAACGGAGGCTATTTACGTGCTTGGAGACTACAATGCACATCCTGTATCTAGGTTTGGTAACGAGCTACTGTCATTCTGCTCAGAACAGTCACTAGTGTGTGTTGATCGAGAGTTGCTAGATGATAGTACTTATACTCATATGAACGATGGATGTGGTACAAGGCGCTGGTTGGACCATTGTGTGGTGACAGCTGCTGCACGTGAAACTGTCTCGGCGGCTCGTGTGGACTACGGTGTGTACTGGTCGGACCATCTCCCGCTAATAATTTTGTGTGAACTCAGTACTGTCGCTAAGAAAATAATAATTGATAATACAGATGACGTGTTGTGTGGTGTTCGCTGGGGGGAAAGGAATGTTGAGCAAATAAATTTATACTCTGACTATTGTTATGATAGATTGCAAAATTTTAAATTGTCTAGTCAATGTGTCAACTGTTGTAATAATCGCTTTTGCAGAGAGCATTTATTTTTATTGGACAATTATTATAATAATATAGTACAAATTCTACAGGATGGTGCAATAAAGTATGTAAGTCGAGGTGCACGGAAAAAGAACAAACATATATTAGGTTGGAACTACCACGTAAAACGTTTACATCAAACAGCCAAAATTTATTTTGAGTGTTGGGTGCTGGGTGGTAGGCCGGTGACGGGCGATATTTATAAGAATATGGTTGATACTCGTAAGGCTTTTAAAAACAAGTTGAGGTGGTGCCAGAATAATGAGGATCAAATTAAAATGAATATATTAGCCTTGCACCAGGCGAATAAAAACTTTGGTAAATTTTGGAGAAGCACGAGACGGCTTGATTATGGATCAAGTATACCGGCTAGTATACAGGGTGAATACAATCACAAATCGATTGCTGACTTATTTTCGCGCCATTTCCTTGTGAAACGTCGTTCATGTCGTGCTGCGGTGTGCACGCGTACGGTTAACGAAAATGTAGACAATGAATTTTTTTATTTTAGTTCAGACGATGTTGCTCGAGTAGTTCGGGCAATGAAACGTGGTAAATCTCCAGGATTTGACGGGCTAAGTGTGGAGCACATTGCACATGCGGGTGAAATTATTTTTCATGTATTGTCTGACTTATTTAATATTTGTATTAACTCGGCCTATTTGCCTAAGAATCTAATGAAAACTGTAGTGGTACCTATTCAGAAACATAAAACTAGTGACCCTTCGAATATTGACAATTATAGACCCATATCATTAGGTACAATTATTGGTAAGATACTCGAAAGATTAATTCAACCAGAACTGCAGCGTAGTATGAAAATAGATGATGCGCAGTTTGGCTTCAGGCCTGGACTCTCGACAGATTCAGCTATATTTTGTTTTAAATCGGCCGTTCACTATTATGTCGAAAGAAGTACGTCAGTTTACGCGTGTTTTTTAGACTTAAGTCGAGCTTTCGACCTGGTAAATTATGATTTATTGTGGGAGAAACTAAATTTATCAGCTGTACCAAACAGAATTATTAATCTGTTGAGGGTCTGGTACTGTGGACAGACGAATTTTGTAAAATGGGGCAGCACCACCTCTAGTGAGTATAGACTAGAGTGCGGAGTTCGTCAAGGAGGGCTGACCTCACCGGACCTCTTTAATTTATATGTAAATGACCTGATAGGGGAACTAAGGAGCGCCAAAGTAGGCTGTCATATTGGAACTACTTGTTTAAATAGTATAAGCTACGCTGACGATATGGTTCTTCTTAGTCCCTCTATCAGTGGACTAAGAAAATTGTTAGCAATTTGTGAACGTTATGCATCGAGTCATGGACTGAAATACAATCTAAAAAAAACACAAATGATGGTATTTCGGTCTGGGAGAGGACCGGAGAGGATCCTGCCAGTTTTTATAGACGGCGCTGCAGTGGAAAGAGTGGGTCGGTTCAGATACTTGGGACATATCGTGACAGAGGATCTTCGCGATGACGGAGATGTGGAACGAGAACGAAGGGCCCTGGCCGTCCGTTGCAACATGCTCGCGCGAAGGTTCGCCCGTTGCAGTCCAGATGTGAAGTTGACATTGTTTCGAGCATTTTGTCAATGTTTCTATACATGTCAGCTTTGGACAAATTGCACCAAAAGTGCGCGGAACAGCATTAGAGTGCAGTATAATAATGCATACCGCATTTTGATGAGGCTTCCGAAATATGTAGTGCGTCGGGCATGTTTGCGGAGTCCAGGGTGAATGATTACTTCGCTATAATAAGAAATCGTGTAGCAAATTTCTGGGCTCACATTCGGAATTCAAAGAATGAAATCCTCAGCACATTGTCCCAGTGTCTGAACAGTCCCATTCAAAAGTACTGGTTGTCCGTGCACCAAGACAGGAACATTAAATAATGTTCTCTTGCTTCTTGCTATATTATTATTTAATTTACTTTACTTTTTATAAATTATAAATTTTCTACATATATTTTAATTTTTATGTTTTTCTTTTTGTATGTTTTGATTGTTATATTTTTATATGTTATCCGTGCACGTTGTAATACAATTGTACCTCTATGGGCTAAGTACCTGATAATAAAGAATAATAATAATAAGCCTTCCATATATATATATATATATATATACGTGGAAGGCGGTCACGCGTATAAATTAAACCTACGCGGCTAAAGGGGCAATGGCAAAAATAAAGATGGCGAATAATAATAACGGAGAGAGTATAGGGTCGCTGCCCGGGGGTCGCCGGGGCGCGTCTACAACTGGCGGTAGGCGCGGCAGAATGCGAGCCAGCCGACCGGCCCCACCACCTGGCCGGTCCGACCCCTCGCCATCGACATCAGCTGGCTTGGCGCCGGCAGGGCCGTCACAGGCCCAGCAATCGGTGCCCGCCACTGGTGGTACACGTCGCATGAGGTGGACAAGAGCCATGAATGAGGACCTCATGCGTGCGTTCTTCAGGGCTACAGGGACAGAAACAGGCAGAACAGGATACCGGGCAGTAATGCACCGCGAGTTTCTGCGTCTTTTACCGGATCTAACCGTCTCGGAACAGAACCTAGCCGACAGAGTTCGGTACATACAGCGCTCTGGTATGTTTAGCGCGACCGAACTCGAACGATTGCGAAGTGAAGTTGTTCCAGAAGCAAACTCCGCGACCGTAGAGCAACCCATCTCAGACGTGCTACCTAGCGTAGAGGTGGTTGCCGAAACGCTTTCAGAAGCGGATGCGGACGGAACAACTTCCCAGGATATAGAGCATATGAGGAGCATACTAGAGGAGGCGATTCTAGAGATCCGAAGAACTCCCCTCGAAGAGAGACCGAAGCTTCCCCGGATATATCCAAATGTGGCGACGCGGGATGCCATTGAGGCCACAAATGGACTGCTGCCCCAGTACCTTGAGGGCAGCGGTGACCTGGGAGAGACGAGTTCAATCCTGTTTGGCGCTGCGTTGGCAGTATGCCGATATACCGGCGCAAAAATGCCCCTGGCTGGACGTAATATCCAAAGGGATAATATGAAACCAGCCTGGAAAAGAAGGATTGAACGACGGATCGCCCAGGCCAGAGTCCTCATTGGTAGACTGCTCTGCTTCAGGGAGGGCAACACACGCCCGAGAATTATGCGCTCCGTAAAAGAGGCCTTTGCTGGGACAGGTGTACGTCTGTTCCAGCCGGACTTCGGGCACAAACTTACGGAGCGCATAGATGAACTGAAGCAGAAGATCGCTGCATGGGGGAAAGACTCCGACGGTACTCTGAGAGGGTTGAGAGGTATATATAAATCGCCTCTTTATGAGTGATCAACGGAAGTTTTATAGGAACTTGGAGCGCCCAAAACTATAGCCCACAGGACAAAGACCCGAAACAGCCAATTTCGTCGCCTTCTGGAGACAGCTGTGGTCTGAACCTGTGGAACATGAGGAGGGCGCATGGATGCACGATGTTGAGGAAGCATGTGCTCGAATAACGCCGATGAACGCCATTGCCATTACGGAGGAAGACGTGGTTGCCGCGATCCGTCGGGCTCCGAACTGGAAAAGTCCGGGGATCGACGGATTGCAGCACTACTGGTTAAAGGCGTTCTCGGCCAGCCATGCGACCTTAGCCGTGCAATTCCAGAGTGCCCTCGAAAACAGGACGCTCCCGAACTTCCTTACAACCGGGATCACTCATTTAGCTCCTAAGACGGACGATACCGCGGATCCATCTAAATATCGCCCCATCACTTGTCTTACGACAATATATAAGACGTTAACATCCGTTCTGAGCGCTAAGATCTCTCGTCATGTGTACGAGAATAAGATCCTATCTAGAGAACGGATGCAATGAAGCCGCGGATCGAAGGAGCCTCCTCATTGATGCTGTCGCTGGGCACGTGGTCAAGCGGAACCGTCGGAATTTCTCCGCCGCCTGGATAGATTATAAAAAGGCGTTCGATTCCGTGCCCCATTCATGGCTCCGGAGGATACTCGAGCTGTACAAGATCGACGGTACAGTTCGAGTGTTCTTGGAGGAATGCATGAGGCAGTGGACGACGATCCTGACTATCCAGGGCGAGCGATTGACGGATACCGCTGACCGGATAGAGATAAAGAGAGGAATATTCCAGGGCGATTGTTTGAGTCCACTTTGGTTTTGCTTGTCCCTGAATCCACTCAGTACTTTACTGGAGAATTCGGGGACTGGATTTCAGTATCGGAGAGGAGGTACACGAGTGTCTCACCTTCTGTACATGGATGACTTGAAACTGCTATTTTTGTCGAACGCCTGACGGAGCTGCTAAATATCGTAAACGATATAGCAGCTCTATTAGGATGGCGCTCGGAATAGACAAGTGCGCGGTCCTCCATGTGCAGAGGGGACGGCACTCAAACTGAAGGGATCGCCACAGATCCCTCTAATATTAAAACCCTCTCCGAGGCTGAAACATACCGGTATCTGGGCATGTCACAAAACATCGGTGTGAAGGAGACGGATATGAAACAGTCAGTCCGCGAGGAATTTTTTGCGCGCCTTACAAGAGTACTGAAAAGTTCTTTGTCGGGCGCCAATAAAATCCGAGCTTATGACGGCTCATACCCGTACTCCTTTACACTTTTGGCGTGCTCAGATGGTCTCAAACCGAACTCGAAGCCCTGGATCGGAAAGTCCGCACAACTATGACCCTCCATAGAATGCATCACCCGAAATCGTCAGTCATGAGGCTGTATATCCCGCGGAAAGCTGGTGGTCGAGGCTTGTTAAGCGTTAAGACCATGCACAACCGCGAGATTGACAGCCTCAGGACATATTTTCTGGAGAAAAGAGACGAGGGTTTGCATAGAGAAGTCATAGAATGTGACAAAGGATTCACCCCTCTTTCTCTGGCTAAAGAGGACTGGCGAAAACCCGAAGTTTTGGGTACCTCTCAGCGGGAGGCCGTATGGAAAGAGAAGGAGTTGCACGGAAGGTTCTTCAAAGCCCTTCACGGGCCGTACGTAAACACGAAGACCTCCGTGCACTGGCTACAGTTCGATGATCTCTTCGGAGAGACCGAGGGTTTTGTCTGTGCAATACAGGATCAGGTGGTTAAGACGAACAATTAATAGAAAGCACATTCTGAAGGATGGCACTGAGGACATCTGTCGAGCATGTCGCCATCCTGGAGAGTCACTCAGACATGTGCTTTCGGGTTGTTCAAGCCAACACAGAGTACTTGCACAGGCACAACCAGGTAGCCAAAATACTCCATAAGAGCTAGCTCTATATATAGAATGAGAGGTTGCCGTACTATAAGTACGAGCCACAGCCGGTCCTCGAAAGCGACAGCGTCAGGCTCTACTGGGACCGATCCATCATCACGGACAGGATCGTTCTTGCGAACAAACGTGATATCGTGGTGATGGACCGGGCACTTTCGAGGGTGTTTTTGGTGGATGTCACCATACCGCATGACGAGAACCTCGTGAAAGCCGAAACCGAGAAGAAGAGAAAATATCTCGACCTGGCTCACGAGGTGACCGAAATGTGGGGGTGACATCTACCGAAATCATCCCAATCGTTATGTCGGTGAACGGTCTTATCCCAACCAGTCTGGAACAACATCTCAGACGGTTGGGATTCCGAGGCGGCTCACTCCCGGGAAAGATGCAGAAAGCGGTGCTCTTAGATTCTGCCCGCATTGTACGCCGGTTTCTCTCCCTGGGGCCCTGAACCCCGGCCGACTGTGCTTCTGCCGGGGGTTAGTTGCCATCTCCTCTCCTTAAGAGGGGAGATGAGAATTTTGGTAAAATTTAAAAATAATAATAATAACAGAGTATACTGTTTCGTACATGATACCCCCCATGCGTTGCCATTCCTGAGGACTCAGGTGTTATTCCTCTGTACCCAGTAAATTCACGCCAAATAGAGATTCTCAAATCATTTGTATCTTTTTTTGTGTATCTGTTATATAATCATCATCATATTCAGACAATTTTTTTTTTTTTTATAACAACTTATTATTTATTTAATTGCTATTGTCTGTTTTCTTATTAGCAAAAGGCCTCCAACTGCCTCCAATGGTCTCTATTGCTAGCAATTCTTGTCCAAATTCCACCTGCTTCGGCCCTAATATCATCTACCTATCTTCTATTTGGTCTTCCTCTTCTCCTTTTTTTGTCTTTTGTGTACCAAAACTATACACCACTGAACATAAACCTCTTCCTTAAAGGGTTTTGCCAGCAGTCGTTAGCCTAACTACGGTTAGGCTAACTAGAGTTGTTTTAAGAGGACCGCTGCTGCCTATCCCTCGCCCTCCCTTACTCGCCTCTTACGAAACCTACGAAAAAGAAAGGAGCGGCCTATTCTATGCCAGGATCTACACCGGTCCCGGGATAGAATAGGCCACCCCTTCCTATCCCGTGGGTGTCGTGAGACTAAGCCGACTAAGAGAGGGCGAAATATGGACAGCAAGGCCCTGCTCTAAAACATCTCTAAAATCTGACTACGATTGCCAATCCGTCTGTCAAGCGTGACAATTACTGGCAACCCCCCCGCCTCAAGGGGAAGGCTTATGATCATCAGTGGACAGTTAAAGGCTGATATGATGAAAGTGTTTTTACTCTTTACTCCGTAATGTTACTATCACACCCCTCCCTTCAAACCGAAGGCCATAACTATTCAGCTTCCTCACAGCAGAACCACAAGTTATTATAATCGCAGCATGAGGCCATACCCGGACCTGCCAGGCAGCATAGACCCTGACCTTCTTGAGTCGTTCAGCTTCAGCATGATGTTCCACTGCGCGCAGTCGGGGCTCGAGCAGTACTTCCTCAAGTTCTCTAGCGCCTGCTTGGTTTCTCTTGCTCCTTGTTCGTAGTACTCCTCGCTGGATAGGAGACGAGGTTTTGGCGGGAATTTTCTTCGCCTGAGAAAATAAAAAAAAGTATTAAATTCTCTGTTCTATATATTACTCTCTGTGTTTCTGGGTTACTGTTACTCTGAATTAAAATAATTTGAGTTTGCGTGATATTCTTAAAAATCATTCATAAGTATAATTGGAACTTGTTACGTAGAACAGCTATATCCCAGATAATCTTAGAGTTTCTACATAAACAATTCCAATTACGAAATAATCTCTGGATAGAGTAGCATATGTAGAGAAAATCTTCATTTTGTGAAAAGATTACCAGAGGGAGACTTTGTACTAAAGTCGTTTGCTTGAGCACCTCTGTCCCATTCGTGTTTCTAACGTAAAGCAGTTGTGTTTGTCTGGCAGTGTTTCGGTTAGAAGAGTGGGCATGGAATACGACAGGGTACAGCGGAATAACACCTGAGTCCTCAGGAACGACAACGCATGGGAGATATCATGGGCGAAACAGTATACTCTGTTATGTCCATGGTACTGCTCATGTTTATAGGCGACGGTTACCACTTTCAATCAGGAGGGCCGTTTTTACTTCTTGAAAAATACTTGAATACAACTCATATTTTCCCTGTAACAATATATTTGGTTGACTGGGAGAGAATGCTTTTAGCATTAAGTCCGCCATGTACACATATTTGTACTAATGAATAAATAAATAAATATTTTACTACAAAATTGTTTAAGTGATAATTTTCTGTTATTGTCATTTTAGTTACAAATGTAGTCTGCTAGCTTTATTCACCATTTCATTATATGTAATACTTATTAAAATTACTAGTTTATACTGTCCATTTCGTCCGCGTGACCGGGACAAAAAGTAGCCTATAACCTATATTCCATATAGTATGTGTATACTAAATATCATAGTGATTGATAAAGCCGTTAAAGCGCTATAAGTTAAACAAATAAAGTCAATTACATATTTTTTTTGATGGATGATAATGGATTGGTAACCCCGCCTGCGCTAACCACTGAGGTGATAGGTGAGAATGAATAAGGTAGGTCAGTTAGCCCATCGTGATGATTACACCAGGAATTCAGCACGATGGTTTCCAGGGGAGACCACGTGGAGGTCAACCTGATAGGGTATATCGCTAGCAATGGAACTAGTGGTCCGCATTACTAACAATCCCTTTCCCCCCTTTTTCCTTATTATTTATAAAATTAATAAGGATTTATGAATACATACCAATAAGCTTGTATTTTGCGCAACAATGACTCGGGGAAGTACTTAATGACTAGAGAGGTAATTATCACAGCGGCGGAGGCCTCCTGATATTCGCTACTGAAGAATATCATCAATACACCAACAAGCTGAAACAATTTAATAAATAGATTGTTTATTTTTATATCGGCCATTTAACTGTCCACTGCTGAATCTTCCTTCGTCCTTCCTCATAATGGGAATTTTACCAGTAGTTGCCACGCATGGCAGGCGAGTTGGCAACACACAGTTAATCTTTGGTAATGTTTTAAGAGGGACGCTACGGACTCAGGTGTTATTCCTCTGTACTCAGTAAATTCACGCAAATCCAACGCAAGTAAATCCTCAAGAATAGCAACGCATGGGGGGTATCACGGGCGAAACAGTATACTCTGTTATGTCCATGGTACTGCTCATGTCTATAGGCGACGGTTACCACTTTCCATCAGGTGGGCAGTCAGCTTGTTTGCCATTCTAAGTTGTATAAAAAAAAAGGATATATTGTACACATTAATACTACATAAAAAATAAAAAAATAATCACCTGTAAAGTCCACATGACGAGGTTCTTACTCCTCTGGTTTTTCGGTGGTCCTATCCTATAGCAAACCAGGAAACTAACGAAGCTGACCACCAATGTATACCAGAACATATACGTTTGATATGACAGCACTATGCTGCGGATATTCTCCCATATTTGCTGGAATATATACACACCCACCGTCCATCCGCCAATCAGAATGCCATATGTTAAAGTTTTCTGTAACAATATGTTCTGCATTTAATCCTATTTCTTTGTTTATATTTATTAGTATGCCACATAGTATAAATTTGTTATTATAATATAATAAGTAAGCACATAAGACATGCGATATCCCATAGGGACATCGCAACCATCCACTTTTACAACAGTTGAAAGCATATATATAATTTTTTTAATATTATTTCAGCCATTAACCGTTATTATCTACTGTTGAATATAAACCTTCCCCATTAGGTGAGTTTTGCCAGTAGTTGCCACGCTTGGCAGTCGGGTTGGCAACTGCAGTTAAGCTTTTACAAATGTTTTAAAGGTACGCTATTGCCCATCCCTCCACCATAAACTCCCTTAATCGCGTCTTACGACACCCACGGAAAAGGAAGGGATGGTCCATTCTATGCCGGGACTTACACGGCGATATATTACGTCATGCTTTATTTATACATTTTATTTGTAGATTTTAAATTTGTTTCCCATGATATTTGGATATTTGTTATTAAGTTTGGTACACATAAGGACCACATTTTGCTAATATAAAATTTTAACTAAATGATTATTTTAACTATATGATTTACAGACAGGTAAATAGGACATATTTAAGATGTATGTGTAGTTATAATAGCAATAGAATATATATATATTTTTTTTATTTTGTCTGTATGTTTGAATGTTGGTTCTCGCATTATCCAAAATATATTGCACCAAATTGAATGCGGTTTTTACAATTCTATTCCTCTATTAATTAACAACAATTGTAAGAATAATTTAATAAAAGACAACTCACCTTAGGTAATAACTTGCTTACATAATATACAAGTACCATAAAGGACGCAAACACTCCAATAAATATTCCACATAGGTAGAAAAATACTGGATTACCACTTAGCGCTTTGGAAGAGAATATAACGCTTATACCAAGGAACATGAGTATAATCCTCCAAATGTCCACTCCTGGAAAATAAGTACATATAATATAAACACACCAGAAGCTCGATTTATGTGAATGATTGATTAACACCTAGCGACCCGTCCCGGCGTTGCACGGGTGGACATTTTTACATTTTAAAAAGTGGCCACTAAGGCTGCACACGCGATGGAAGCTTAAAAATGGAGTAACTTCTCCCGTTTTCCCAACATTTCCCTTCACTGCTCTGCTCCTATTGATCGTAGCGTGATGAAAAGTATATTATAATCTACCTAGGAGTATGAAGAATAATTGTACCAAGTTTCGTTAAAATCCGTTGAGTACTTTTTGTTTCTATCGATCACTAATCACGCACTGATAGTTATTTTGGAAATATTTTTCATGTACAGAATGGACCTCTCTACAGATTTATTATAAGTATAGATTAGCTTTTACTCATGACTTCATGGGACTGGGATTTGTTTACTGACCGTCATTTCATATTTTTTTTACTTAATTTGATTAATATAAATGTGAAAGTGAGTTTGTTTTGTTAGGCACCTCTTAGTATCTCTATGGCTAAATCAATTATTATGAAATTCAGTATACATGTAGTATAAATAGGTCAGTAAACATGTTCTAGTCACAAAGATGATAAACAGATAAATACTAATCTAAGATAAAACATCAATAAACAAGTCATAGCTTATAATATCACAACCTATATAACTCTGTCCTACCAGTGGTCCAACAGATATATCGAGATAAGGCAATCGTCATGTAACTGCTCAAGGCATTGTCTGGCATTAGATCACTAGTCTTCTTTACACTTTACTTCATACTTAAAATTTAATGCATGGTATAAATGTATGTACATTTGATGGACTTAGCACCAAATGTTATTCTCTACCAGTCAATCATTGAGCAAACAGCAGTCAATCATTGAGCAAACAGAAAAACAGGTAGGAGATGCGTCCATTGACTTTATGTTTCATAAAGCAATACTTAATATATAAAACTAATATACTTAATAATAATACTTTTTACTTTAAGTATTTATGTTTCAACTAATATAAACATACACAAAATACATTATATGTATTTATATAAAATAAATAACTGTATTAAAAAAGTACAGAAAACAGTTTGAATTTAAATTTGTTTATAAAAGTACATACTTATAATTTGTAATTCAATACTGTGCCTCAGTTTAGTATTGATGGCCATGCATGTGGGTGTGAACAGGTCCAACGAGACTGTTTTTTGGTTTTTCTTCTGAAAGGGATTGACGACCGACCATCCGTAACTATCTTCAGTGTATTCTTTGTAAACTTCTTCAGGGCTGCTGCCCACATACAGTCTGTACTCATCATTTTTGATTCTCAAGTGAAACTGTAAGAGATTTTTTATATTAATGAGAAGTAATTATTTAGTTAATTTTAAACTTTTGCCTTATTTACACAAATTTTAAATACACACTCAGAACTCATGATGAAAAAGCTCTGCTACCCGCAATAAATGCAATAAAGAAGCAGGTATAAACAACAATTAGGAATTAGGTTATAATTCATATTGATTTGCAATGGTTTGCATTGGCAAGTTACACTAATAGACATCTGTCAGAATAATGTGGAACTGTTATGGTGTTAGTTTTGCAAATCAAGAGTGTGAAAGGTTTCAATTCCAATATTTCTCTATTGGAATTTATTTCAAGAGTAACTCCACTGCACATAATAATGCATATAATATATACACACATATTAACATGTAATGTATATAATATACAAACAAATTAAGTTAGGGGGTTTGGTCAAAAATTATTTCAAACAATTAGCAATATATTAAAGGAACTAACATTAAAAATGTTCATATGGAAACCTAGCAAGACCCTTTACTTGTGCTGAGTGGCACTCATCATAAATTGCCATTCAATAATGTATTGTAATTGTAATATTCTTTTATATATTGATATCAACTATTCAAAAGACTTCAATACTTTTTTTTATTATATTTTTAGAAATATAGAAGTTAGTGTCGTCAATTGAGATTGTTTCACTAAAAAAAACTTATTTGAAATGTGGCAAAACCAGTTATTTTTATTACAAACTGAATTACTGAACCAATTTTGATTAAATTTCTATAGGACCAATCTGTACATATAAACTTTCAGATAAAATAAGGATTTTTCAAATTTAATTACAACTGAAGAAGGTTGATGTCAGGCAGGCGACCAGTTGTAAAACTAAAAGCCAAATCTTTTTGTAATATGAATAAAAACATATTACGCCGACCCCAAACAATAATAGGGATAAGGGTAGGAAGATAATGTATTAAAACTGACGGAGCTATAAAGTAACAAACACAAAAAATATAACCATATTGAGAACTTTCTTGTTTTAAAAGTTGATTAAAAAGAGAAAAAGAAATTACTTTTATATAATTACCTTAACTGTTTGCCAGAGAGTAAACAAATTTTTTGAAGTGCCAGGATAACAGTATATGTCAACAGATTGCTTTGAGGTTGGCACATCCCGCTCAATAACTGTAGCACCTCCAAGCCAGTGCACTGAAAATGTAATTTGGCCCAATTTATTCATAAATAAGAATATAATGGTGGGTCAAATTATTATTTAAATTTTTGCTTATTTTTAATGGTGAGTCGTTTTAGAGAACAATTATCATGAAATTAGGTATATTAGTATTTGGAATAAAGGACAGGTTATTTTTTCACCCAGTTATATGGACGAATTCACAGGTAAAAACTAGTATTTTTTAAACGCACTAATAGTAAAATAAACAGAACTTACCGTCATAAGCTAATGAGCTAGATTCAACAATTAAAAACGAGTATATTATCAATAATGACAAAATTAAAAAACAGCCGCTGAAATCCATTGCGGTCAGTGATATTTCAGAGAATACTATAAAATAAATATTTCGTACTGTACGCGAGCGTGGCTAATACAATAACACATACTTTTATTTAATAATTGGTGAGAATTTTGTACCTTTTGACACAGAATCGTAGGAAAAATATAATTCTATGCCATAACATCACCAAAATATTTTGATTTATAGTAATCACAGAGTACACCGCAGACGTCAATATGTCAAAGCAGTTTTTTTTTTATACAACTTTGACATTTATTTAATTGACATATATGACATTGATATTTATATTTTTTAATCCAATGGAGTAAAGCACGACTATTTGTATTTATTTATTTATTATTATAATGTATTCATATACACAATATATATAACAATACAACTATATCTATTGCACAAAAAACTAATAGGCAATAATAAAAGCAACTTACAATTACATCAATCACTAAGATACATCTATCCTGAAAGCCAAATGCTTTATTATCTCCTGTTGTTTGTTGTCTGGTTTTTCATAACACAGAGTTTCCATACCCTGCGTAATGAGAGGAAAAAGTAATTGTTAGTAATGGGGTCAAATAACACCATTACTAACAATATACCTTGTCAGATCGACCTTCACGTGGTTCCCCCTGGAAACCATTATGGTTAATTCTAATTGAATTCGTCAGGATGGGCTAACTGACCTGCATTCATCCTTACCTGTCACCTTTCACTGGTGCCACGCCGGTGTATACCGATAGCGATGGCGGGGTTACCATTCCATTATCATCCATTAAAAAAAAACCCTGCGTAATAAAATATCAAGTAACAAACATATAGAAACATAATGTTATTAACAAATGCTTATATTATCAGTTACTGGTGGAGAATGGATTGTTAGTAATGGGGATTAGTAATCCCATTTCTAGCAATAAATCTTATCAGGTCGACATCTTCACGGTTCCATCTGGAAACCATCGTGATTATTGTTGAAGTCGTTACAATAGACCAACTGACTTGCTTCTTCCTCATTTATCATTTCATTCATAAAAAAAAATCATAAAATATTGTAAGGTAAAATTGTGGAGTTTTCAAGGATGTTTTTATAACGAATTAAAAATGGGATAAGCTCACATTCATCTGTATTTATTATCTGCACCATAAAATAAAGTACATAATATTCAGTCACCAATTCTGAACTGATTTTGATAATTATTTTGCAATTTGTATTGTCTATTCCCATGTAGGACTCATATTAGGGCGTTTCACACACTGCAGATCGCCACTGTCCCCCGCCCCCCATGCTTCTGTAGAGACAGAGATAGCATAAAATTATTGTCTTTGTAAGGGACTTGGGTTTAAAGAAAAAAGAAACAATAAAAATCATAAATACATTCTCATTTTTATTTGGTTAAGCAAAAACATATGAAAATACAGTGGTCATGTATGTAAACTATTTCAAACAATAAGGCACTTACATCTTATACTATGTACAATTGTCTTTCGTCTATTTACTACATGTTTAAAATTAATGTTACAATCATAAAAATTTAAAACAAGGCACTAATTCACTTGCGGTACAATTTCATGTGGTTGTATCATATGACTGACTTAATTTTGCTTTACTATTACGATTAACTACTAAATACCCTACCCTACTACAAAATTAGTTACAGTGCCACATATCAGCGGTGATGGTTGTCAGACCGAACGAGAAATTTTGGAATGTCTCGTATAAAATTTACTTGCCATATCTTTATAGTGTAATACGCTAGTGTGTATGTATACTAAAGAAATAGTAAAAATAAAATAAATAATGTTGTTATGTATTATATATTGATTCGTACATATGTAGGTTTTAGTCTATTTTAATTTTTTGAAATTATTAATATTGATTAAAAGATATGTCATGAAAACTTAAAAAAAAATGTAATATAGCATTTTTGATATTCGATCAAATTCAATTTCAGTATTTGCGCTCACAAGCACTATCCCGTATCTAAACATTTGTGGCAATACATGTGCTGTAAATCAATTTGTAGAGCCCGATTTAGTGGGAATGCAGCAAACTTGACAGATACATATAATAAAGCGGAAAACATTATTTTTTTTCCGGAACGGCAATATACATAGATCGAACACAGTCAATTCATGTTTTTTTTTCAAATTAAGTTTTAAGGCATCAACGAAAGACGTGTTGTATTAGAAAACTTGTACTTAATTACATAGATGGCTTCGTATTATACAAAAAGAATATAAAAAATACATTGAAAAATAAAACACATAAGGAATGTTTGCTTTTAAATACTGTAAAGTAAATATTACACTCAATATAAGAATATTTAGTGAAAAAAGTGCAATTCCAGTCTTGATGATTACAACGGAATGCTCAAATAAATACTTTTAAAATACGACGCTTCATATTTTGAATACTTTTACATTTTGAATTCTAATTTTTATGTACTTTTAAAATCACAGTTTATTTTTTTTTCACCAAAATTTAATTCATATAACTTAACTAATCTACAATACAATAATATAGGTATGTATAAAACCTATTAAACTTTATTCATTTATATATTAGTAAAATTATTACATAATTCATCCAGCACCCAACCTCATATTGTACTTCTCTGTTTCAATATAATAACTAAAAATACTTTTGGAAATCTTTAAAGGAATACTTAAAATTTTCTATAAACAATCGCACATTCCACTCGAGCGAGTTCATCAGTAAGCTGCCTGTAACACGAATCCTTATACATATGTATATATGTATAAACAAAAATAAATACTTAATATAAAATCTTGTACCGTACTGCGTATAAGTCAGTGTAACAATAATAAGGCTTCTATAAAGCTATAGCTATGCATTAATAGTAATTGCATACTAATAAAGTTTTTAATTTAATGTTCTTTGCATTTTGAACATAATTTGAAGAAATATAGAATAGATGGCGCCACATATCTACATTGTAAATTTTTTTTCTCGGTCTCTGAAGACAAAACTGATCTATGCACTTTGGCGCCATTACGGTTTTTCTATATCTATGGTTTTAGTTTCATTTATGGATAACCTTTGATTTTGTACGATTACTTCATTGATTACATTGTATATTGCACTAATTCGCCTAGGAACTTGTGAAGGCACGTTAAAAGCACTAAAGTTCACTATTAATATATTATTATATATCTAAAATATTTAATATGGGATTGCCATTCCTAAGTATCCGTGAGTCAAGTCGACAAAAATAACATCAAACTATTTATCGACGTTCAATACTGACCGTACGACTTACAGTTCAATTTGTTTAAATATTATTACGCATCTTCACTTATTTTCAGGAATGTTATGTATCTGTAAAGATAAGAAAAAGTATTATTAAGATAAAAGGAGTTGGAAACAATTATAAAATTGAAAGAAAAGTTTTGATTCAATAAAATAACTACTAATATATAAAATAATTATATATATATATATAGGCCCTTTTACTCCGAATTCACTATAACCCTAGTAAGACATTTTTCCTTTCTATTTATTATAATATATATCTGAATTCGGTGTGTCTCCTGGCATAGGCGTCCTCCAGCTCATATATATATATATATATATATATATATATATATATATATATATATATACGAGGACTGTCCGGAAAGTTCGTATAAAAGTAATGCGAGAAAGAGGAGTATAAGCGCATATATATATATATATATATATATATATATATATATATTTATGGGGATGATGCTGTGAAGGAACCAACCGTCCACAAGTGGCTAAAAAGATTCAGAGAGGGCCGAGAAAGAGTTCGATGTTCGGGGGATTGTCCATCAAGAATTCGTCCCTCCAGGCCAGACAGTTGATGGAAAATTCTACGTCGATTGCTCAGACGCCTCAAAGCTCGTGTGGCACGAGTTCGTCCAGAATTGGCGCGAGAGGGGCGTATTCTTCATGCCCCTGCCCAATATATATTCCATTACGGTGACCGAACACCCCCCCTATTCGCCGGATTTGGCCCCGTGTGACTTCTTCTTGTTCCCAAAAACCAAATTGGTACTTCGGGGGCGGCATTTGGGGGACATAAATGAGATAAAAAAAGCTACGACGGGGCAGCTGAGAAACCTACAACCAGAGGACTTTCATATATATATATATATATATATATATATATATATATATACCTCGTATAACATATGACATTAAATTGTAGGATAGTTACTGATAGAATTGTATTTAAATATAGGAAATATTTTATTATATCAGCCGTTATCTGTCTACTGTAGAAAATAGGCCACAGACTGTAATAAGGTACGGTTCTGAACCACCTGCATCCACTAACTCCCTGCAAGCATTTAAGGCCGTCACTCCATCTAGTGGAGGGTCGCCCTACACTGCTTTTGCCTGTACGAGGTCGCCACTCAAGAATCTTTCTTCCCCATTGGTTGTCGGTTCTTCGAGCTATGTGACCAGCCCATCGCTACTTCAAGTTGCTTATTCTTAGGGTTATGTTGGTCATTTTGATTTCAAATTCTGTCATTCACTCATTTCGAATTAACCGTTATGAATAAGATTTCACCATGTATATAAAAAAAAAAAAACAAGACGTATACAATCGTTAAAACAAAATTTTAAAAATGAAATCCGCCATCGTGTGGTGGCGGCCATTTTAAATATATTACTTTTAAATATATTACAATAATGAATACATAAAGTATCGCCGTCAGACTTAAAAAATTATCGATTACGATAAACTAGTCCAAACTGAAGTTGCAAGATTTAATGTAAAGCATACATGACATGTAACGTGACTGTAAATATCTAAATGTGGCTTATGTTGAGCGTTTTGTATGGGGATCGGATGTTGTCGCTCATCTATAATTTAATTCTTAAATCTAGGGATTAGATAATTATTAATTATATAGACATTAATCTAAAACTTTACATTGGTATACACAGGGTGTCATCACACGTGCAATACAATTGCAATGGGGGGAAAGGGATTGTTAGTAATGGAGACTGAGAATCCCATTGCTAGCAATATACCCAACCAGGTCGACCTCCTCGCGGTTCCCCCTGAAAACTATCATGGTTAATTCCTGATGAATTCATCATGATGGGCTAACTGGCCTGTTTTCATTCTCATCTATCACCCTTCACTGGTGCTCCGCCAGCGTATCCCGTTAGCGCAGGCGGATTACCACACCATTATCACTCATAAAAAAAAAATACAATTGCAATGACTACAAAATGCTGATTTATAGAATTCTTCTTTATAATGGTATACAAAATTTAGACAAGATCCTGAGTCTTAGTTCAGATAAATTTTAGTATCGAAATGATTGATTCAAACTTAAATATCGATAAATATATCGAACATATAACAAAGCTCAGTTTTAGAACAATTTTGACATTTAAACATGGAATATTTTTAAAAATTATTTATAAATAGAATTTAGAGTAAGATTTTGAATATATCGGCGGTATGGGATTGCTTGTATTTTATAAGTTTTTAATAGAAATAAATTTAAGTACACTTTCACAGAAATCGTCATAGTCGTAGAATACTTGACGGATCTATATATGTAATATTTGTCTGATCCGTCAGTATTCTACGACTATGACGAAATGACAAGGGTTTTGGTATTGTTGCGAACCTTCTCGGACGACCTGCGCGGAAAATAGATGGCATGTGTATGTCTAAAAATCGGTCAATTCGCTGGTACATAAGCATGATGTATGATGTATACCTATATGGCGCGACTGACCGTGCGCTATTTTATTTGGGGGGAAAAGCGTTGTTAGCAATGGAGTTTGACAGTCCCATTGCTGGCCCTATCAGGTCGACCTCCACGTGGTTGCCCCTGGAAACCATCGCGAACAATTCTCGTTGAATTCGTCACGATGGGCTAACTGGCCCGCTTCATGCTCACCTATCATCCTTCACCGGTACCCGGCCGGTGTACACCGATAGCGCGGGTGCGGGTTACCATTGCATTGTCACCCATAAAAGTAAAACTGACCGTGCGGCGCGGCTAGCGCTTGCGCAGGTCCGGCGGCGTGTAGGCGGCGCCGCCGTGGCGCGCCCACTCGCGCTCGAACTCGTGCTCGAGGATCTCGGCGCCGCGCTTGCGCGTCAGCCCCGTCTCCTCCAGGCTCAACTCGCACATCTGCATGTCGTCCACGCCTGCCGACCACCGATACCACCTCTTTATATTTTACGACACACGCACACACACACACACACACACATACTTACATCCATGTATATTTATGAAATAGGAATATTTGTTAAACAAAACCCACAATTATTTACAAAACTTTCGAATATGAATAAAGTCACATCAAGAGATCTCACAATGTTGAAACTGCCCATCTGCAGAACCACACCGCATCAACAAAACTGTGATATAATGACTATTAAAATATATAATAAAATACCAAAATCAATGAGAGAACTACCAGTAAGTCACTTTAAATTACGGTTAAAAAAATGGTTACTGAAATGCAATTTTTATTGTAAATGTATTCAGTTGTATTGTATGCCATTTGTTATGTTTTTGACTTGTTATGTATTTGTTTTTGTTTAGTTCTGCTACCATTACTATGTGTGCGACTGCCAATATTTATAGATTGACTCCTACTAATCTATTAATATACGTAAGCCACTAAAAAATAATTAGAATGTGCTGAAATAAAAATTTGCATGCCTTTAAATAAGACGAAATGTGTAGCTCAAAAATATTTAAGACCATAATTATTACCACATTTCTAGCAAATAAACAAATAATTATTATTATTATTATACGAGTATATTAGCTCCACATGTCTTGTAGGAAGAGGGTGAGGTGAGTGTTATTACTAGTGGGCATCATACTGGTGACTTTAACATTAACTTATTAGAATAGAATAGAATAGAAACATTTATTGCCATACAATTACAATATAAAATATAAATAACATATACAAAAAGTGTCTCACACCCGGCAAAAGGAACCGGCTCAGCTTTTGCTGTGAGTGTCCCAGCGCAATGTGAACAGCTGCACAGCGCTGGTTTTCAGCCACTACCCTTATTTATATTATAACTTATCCCTTATTAGTATTCCGCCAGCGTAATAGAGAAAAGTTGGTACAGTTATTATTTTCATCCTCATTGTAAAAATTGTATTTCTACTCTATTTACAATTAATAAACGAACTTGGCATGATTTTTTTTTTTATCGAATTTACTCATTTTAAAATAAACAGACAAAAACTAGCACAATGATTTTGTTGGTTATCACTTGACGTTTCACCGTTATGAAATTTGGTTACATGGTTAGAAATACATATTATGTTATATATAGTTCAGGATAGTAAAGAACATAGGCTACAATCAACAAAATACAGATTAATCAACATATCCACAGACTAGTATATAATAATATCCAAGATCTCGCAAGGGCGTCTATTTGGTACGTTTAACGTGTAACAAGAGACCCGCAGAGTGCCGCAGTGTACGTACCGGCCTGCAGCAGCACGGGCGTCTTGTCGGGGTGCAGCTCCATCTGGCGCGCGACGTACTGTCCGTCGAAGTGCGCGTACCACCAGCCGCGCCGGTCGGCGGGCTCGTGGTCGGCGCGCACGAACGGGATGCGGAAGTAGCGGTGTCTCGCGCCCAGGATCTCGCCCTTCTGTGTCACCCGCGGGATTTTCGCTGCTAAGTCGTGTTAAATGTTTTAATTAATGGCTATAATTTTACAATAAATGTAACGTCGATATAAAATCTTATGGATACATAAATTAACTTAGCAGTATTTAATTAAATAATTGTTTAACGTATTACATTTATAAAAAAATTTAATGACTGCATACAAATTAAACGTATTCTAATTGATGTAATTTAATCGGATAGGACTGAAATTGGTAATTTTTCTACAATATATGTATTTCATTTTTAAAATAAACAAACATACCGGCCTCCATAATTGATTGTGGCGCCCTCTCCTGTTCAGCCATTGTAGTCTTGCGAGCATTCTTTGCCTTCCACGCATGGTATACCTTCAGGCGGCGATGGAACTCGTGACGGCATGCCTTTTAAAATTATTACATTCATTATTGACGAGAAACATACTGTTAGGAATAAAATGGAAGTTGTATAGAAATGAGAAAGAGCATGTATACTAATCGAACCATCTGAAAAAGTCAAGAACTGAAGTATATCATGGGCGTAACAGAGTACTCTGTAACGTCCAGGGCAATATTCATGTTTATAGGCAATCGTTACTACTTTCTGTCAGTAGTTTTAATATAAAAGAGTAACATCCATTTTTCATCCAAATTTTTGTATTTATAATATTAATAGGATAGTATATAAAATTACATAAAATATCATTGGTAGCGGTGAGCGTGTATATGAACTATAAATATAAAAAAAAATCAAACTAAAATACTAAATCAAGTTTCTTCATTAGTGTAGTGACACTCGTAGTTAAGATTAGATGGTGCTCTTATGGGAATGATCACTTCTATAAGAGCCAATAGGGTGGCAGTGCTGGCAAAATGCCACGGGCCCCCGACCTAAAAGGGCCCCGGCTCAAGAGGCCGCGAGCTCAGAAATATATTTTTTTACATCGTACCTGAGTATTTTATTTTACTTGAAAAGTATTTTTTTTTACTGATAGGGTCCCATCAAAAGCCATTTCAGCCATCATTTGCCTCAGGCCCTAAATGGTATAGTTACGCCACTGTAATGAGCTCATAATATTTGTGACCTATAATGGGTTATGATGACAATAGTAGTTTTGCCATTCGATTCTATTTGCCTACTTTATAGATCACACCAAAACGTGCGTAGACATGATGAAAGATAGATAGGACATAATTATGTTTAAAAACACAACACAAACACTTTCTCACCTCTAGAAGCTCGATGTCACAGGATGTGTTAATAGTGTCGCGCAACTCTGAATACTTCCATTTCGACAGGTCGTATTTCTGCTTGCCTTGCAAAGCCTGCTGCATTCTGACCCTCTCTGACCTGGTGTACACATATATTTAATAAACACTATTTATTCGATAGCATAAATAAAGTATTTAATAACAACAAATGGTAAAAAGCACAGGTGATATTATTTAGACATCAGGCATCGTGATATTTTACCACACTTATTGCATAATAAAACATATACTTGTGTGCATATAAAAAATGAAACAAACATGATTCTATGTTCTAAATCAGCCATGCTCATTGTTCACATAGCTATCTTTAAATATAATAATACCTTGAAAATCATACATAATTTAAGAAACATGTAAACATTTTTATTATTTTTAATTAGTAATATAATTAAATTTTTAATTACTCTTATAACATAGTTTTTTTTATAGTTAATAAAACTACATTTTTTTAAAGTAAATAACAATTAATCTCATGCATCCAATTTTATTAATTTTATGATTATGGCAATAAATTATGCCAAAAATAATGTTGAATTTTTAATAGAAATAATTTACGAACCTTAAAACAATATTCACAGTGTCTGACAATATCTATTATATTATCTAATGTTCAACATGTTACGCTTATTTGGAAGGTATTTAATAGGTAAGACCTTTTGTATTTAAGCATTAAATCCATAGACAATAGATTTAAATAGATGTCGCAAGTGCATGTTAGTGCTCTAATTTCGTATAGTCTACTTAGATCATAGCTGTATTTAGATTTTAAGTTTTACTATATCACATACGAGTATATTAAAAAAAAAATTACAACGTTGACAAAAAGCGTGACAGGTCGTATTTTTGAAAAGGATTTATTATTGGGGAATGTGTTTAGTATACTACAGTAAGGAGAAAAAATATGGCACCCTTGGTTTACCATATAAATTGATATAATTGCGACATCTACTTCCATCTATATCTGTGTTCTCTAAATACAAACAGAACTACGTTTTAAATCAAACATTTATCATACAATATTACCAGACACTGTATATTTTATAGTCAAAATTCTCAACCGGTTTATAGTACTTTTGATTTATGTTCAGCCAGTATTACAGGTAAAATAAAAAAAAAAGTATTTTTCACCGGATGGGAACTTCGACTCAATATAAAGTTATATTTAGTAAGAATATCACATTCATAAATTAGATAACAATATGGCGATATATTACATTATAAACTACGTAAGTCCGTGCAAAGAAGAAGAACCTAAGCCCAGCGTCAGTGTTAACAGTTAGCACAGTTAGTAGGTGTCAGTAATAAATCCTCTTTCAATAACTTGTCAAATAGACACGTGTATGGGTGCCTTTACAATTTACTACATCACGGTACCGTATCGTACGATTTTATCGTGGCGGTGTAATAAAAGAGTAAAATATATGCAATTGTATGACGCTTATAAATTTCTGTGCTAGTTCCACGAAATTAAAAGCGTCTCCATATAATTGCATACATTTTGCTCTCTTATTATATCGTAACGATAATATTGAGATAACGATAAAATTTAAATAATTCTTTTACGTGATGACTGTCCATCACTTAAGTTGACTGTTCACTTAAGTTTTTACCTTATGGTAGATTTATATAAAGTTGAAAATTATTATAAACTATTTCATTTTTCTACTCAATCCATTTATAAATAACGGAGTTATAACTACACAATTACCGGAAAGCTATATGATTCGTTATTGAAAGAGGGCACAGTAATAAAAGGCGGTGTGCAAAAGAGAAAACGTTAGTCTATCTCACTCAGTACCTGTTCAACTTATTCTCTCCGTTCACTGAGTCCATTGTGGGGAAACTGTGCAAACATACCACAATATTACTCAACGCAGCTGACACAAGCTATGTACAGGAAGACGATACGCAGACCCGGTGCGCGAAGGTTTGTTTTACAGTGACTCTCATTTTATAGAGACAATATCTGAGATTTAATAGTATTTTTGGTGCGTAAAACGAAACGGATGATTTATTAAAAGGTAGCATACCATTAGAATAGTTATGTCTTATTAGGTACCTGTCAAAATCGAATAATTTTATATTTATTCTAAATTATAATTTTTGTATGGCCAGACATTAAACTTTATGTCTAACACTGGACAGTTAAAAGCTGATATGATGACGACGAAGATAGTTTTTGTGTGTTAATCTTGTGTATAAGATCTCATTCATAGCACTCTAAAAGTTCAATATTTGGTGGCGAAAATGTTTGCAAACTTTATAAACGTAAGGAAATTCAATTTCAAAAAAGGTGACAAGACTTTGTTCCGCAATGAACAAACAGTTATTTCATACCCCAAAAAAATATTAAATTATATAAATTTTAAGTCATACATTTATGTCCAACTTATTCTATACGCCGTGTGGTCCTCGCATAGATTGGCTACCCCTTCGTCTTGTGAGCAGAGGGGGGGGGGGGGAATGGATTGTTAGCAATGAAGTTTGACAGCCCCATTGCTAGCCCTATCAGGTCAACCTCCACGTGGTGCCCCCTGGAAACCATCGTGAACAATTCTCATTGAATTCGTCACGACAAGCTAACTGATCTGCTTCATGCTCATCTATCATCCTACACTGGTGCCCCGCTGGTGTATACCGATAGCGCGGGTGGTGTTACTATTATCACCTATAAAAAACAACCCTTCGTTTCCCGTGAGCGTCGCAAGGGGCGACGAAGGGAACTTAGTAATCGAGAGATGGACAGCAGTGGACTAATTATAATATTTTAATTTCTCATTCGAAATACATACGTAGGTTTGTTTAAAATTTGACAAATAAGACAGTAGCTTTTGCCCCACTTATGGAGGAGAGCTATGTTCAGCTGTGTATAGTTAATAGCTAATACGATGATGACGTTGATGACAGTAGCTATTCTTATGGTATTATGCACTCTCTTAACATAAAACTAATTAAGTTGAATAAATTATTTATTTTATTTTTATTTGTGCAAGCACCATTTCGTTTTACACACCATCTTGAGATTGCTTTATCGTGCCAAAAGATAGGAAAAAATCATAATATACAAACTGTTCTTCAAGCTGAGAGCTATTGTATTGTGTACCTAACAAAATTAAATAGAGTTTATCATTTGATTCAAAATGGCTAGTGCCATAAAACGTCGTAAAAATTACACAAGCACAGTGGGACTGATTCGAAAATGTAATCTAAATTTAATTCTCTAATTTAATAATTTCTATTTGAGAAAATCTATTTTAATTCAGTCCTAATTAATTCATATATTTAAGTCAGTAATATTTGTTGCTCTAAAATCAGGGAATTTTATATATTTTAGATATAGATTTATTAAAAACAAAATAAATCCCACTGATGTTGTCCAATTGTTATTCCTGTTTTCTGTTGTATTGATAGATCATTCTCTAAAACTATGTTTAAAATTAATATTCGATAGTTTTTTTTTTTTTTTTTTTTAATTCTAAACTTAAGAGATATGTTTAAAGAATGACATCGATATAATAGAGCCAATTCTGACGAGCCATTTATATACTCTGAACCTATCTCTAAGACTAAAGTTACTGGTATACTTTGATATCATAGTGAAATCTTTAAGAATCAATATAAATTGATTTTCTAATAGATTTAAAGCGAAATATTACGAATTTAGTTCATTATGGTCCATAAAACAGTAATTTTGTGAAATTCTCAAATTAAAATATTCTAATGTAATGTCGCAAGCATAAGCCTGACTGTGCGCTTCGGCCCATAGTCGTAGGCGCTCGCGGCATCGACACTGTGCCGAAATCAGCGGGCCGAGGCGCACAGTCAGCTTGTACTTGCGTCACAGCTGCTTATGATTAAGGATCACGAATTGATCCCGAAACTAGTAGAGCTTTCGCGATCAAATTACATGTAAGTTAAACCGGTAGTTATTACATTAAAATATAATGTCTGCCTGCGAAACTTTTAAAAATACAAATATTCTGTTAAGAGATAGATTTAGAGAAATGGCTTCTCAGAATCGAATCCAATATTTATTGTATAGCTATTTTATATATATTTTGAATATATAATTTTGAATTAAAGTTGATCTGCCTAGAATTTACGATAATAGTGATATGAGCCGAGTTGCGATGAGCGAAACATGAACATACCTTCGTAATTGTGGCGGGGATCCTTCCACATGCCCATTTGTTTCTTTAGCGAGCCTGACGGCCATTTCGTGGTCTCTTCTTTCTTGTTCTAACCTGTTAAATGTAAATGTATAAACATTATTTACAGGTTCTGTAAGTTGACTTGTAGTAATTTTAGATATAATCAAAAATTCATATACGATACAATACAATACGATACAATAGTATACGAAGTAACGTTATACTAATTCTATGGTAGTGATATGCAAAAATATGGATTGAACATTTTGAACACTGTATATGAAAAAAGGAAGTTAATATAAGTGTATACCTATCAATTGAAAAAGGTATAAGCAAAATCGGTATATAATTTACAAAGATTGCGTAAAACTTATTAAAAATAAGGCGAATAAACCTTTTCGTAACAAACTGCACTAACTAACAAAAATGTTAAAAGATAACTGTCGAAAAAAAAACATTTTCTACCTCTCCCTGTCCTCCTGTTCAGCGCGAGCGGCTTCCTCCAGCTGCTTCTGCAGATTCTGCGCGGACAATCGGTCCTGCTCTTCCAAACGTTGACGCTCCAACTCCTCGGCTTTGCGGCGTGCTTCCATTTCTGCTTTACTGCAAAAATATTACTTTTTTACTACTCTGATAACTATATATATATATATATATATTATATTTTTATGTACCTTGCAAACTAACAGAGACATATAAATGGATAGATCTTCGATTTGAATTAGCAATATAATATATTTCTAGTTCAATTAGACAAGACACTAGTAGATACAAGAATTATTATTATTATTATATTAACCCTTCTTTGCATATAGGTGGAAATTTTCATCATTTTTTTTTATACAACTTAGAATGGCAAACAAGCTAACGGCCCACCTGATGGAAAGTGGTAACCGTCGCCTATAGACATGAGCAGTACCATGGACATAACAGAGTATACTGTTTCGCCTATGATACCCCCTATGCGTTGCCATTCCTGAGGACTCAGGTGTTATTTCTCTGTACCCTGTAAATTCACGCCATATCCCACCCTTCAAACTGAAACACAGCCATGCAACATCATCATAACATTGAATGCCCAAAAATTATATAAAAGAACAATTTCACTTTAAGTTGATCGTCTCTGGATACCTTTTTATTGTCCATTGCAATAAAAAAATCCATAGCTGTCAAATTTATTTTTTAACCTTTTTTCCTTTAACTTTGAACATGAATTATATCACCTTGATTTATTTCACCAATAAAAAAATATCATGCAAAGAAGGGTTAACAGCTATTATTTGTCCACTGCTGAACATAGGCCTCTCTCCATAAGGAGTTTTGCTAGTAGTTACCATGCTTGGTAGGCAGGTTGGCAACCGTAGTTAAGCTTTGGTAATGTTTTAAGAGGGATGCTGCTGCCTATCGCCCGACCATTAAATTCTCTTAGCCGCCTCTACGACATCCACAGAAAAGAAATGGCCAGTTCTATGCAGGGACCACACGGCAAACAAGATACAAAAATATCTGGAACTTTTTAGGCAACCATACAAAATTCAATTATATATATATATATATATATATATATATATATATATATAAAATATATATATAAAATGTAGGATTTAGCACTTAATTCCAAATTACTATATTTGCTTAAAACTAATTCCACAACAAAACGTAAAAATAATTAGAACTTGTTTATTTTCCTGCTAAATCAGCTTCGAGCTTATATTGTATAAATTAAGTATCCTAATTATCTATCTCGTTCTAACATAAACGTCATTATGTTTTTTTCTCCTTTACATTTCCAACCTATATACTTTACAATCTAAGAGATATAACAAAAACAAACTCACAGTCTGCGGTTCTCCTCTTCCTGTTTGATTCTCTCCAACTCTTGACGTTTCAATTCTTCAGCCGCACGGATCTCCGCTTCGATTTTGCGTAATCTCTCTTGTTCTTCTCTGTAAATCACAAACAATTCATATTTAATATTCTGGCAACAATAAATACAAAGTTTTTCTTTTGTTATCAATTTGAAAATAAGTATAATATTATTTTATTATTGGCAATATTATTTGCTTCCCTTTTTTAAGTATTACACACAAAAACTAAGTAAATATCAATGCCTAAAAAAGGGTATTACATATATTTAAAAAACAAATTATTAAATAAGTTTGTGGTTTATTTTACCTGTTCTTCTGATCCACCATGGCCTTCTGCAGAGCTGCCATTTGTGTTTCAACATCTTTGGTCAATTTTGCGTAGATCTGGTCTACTTCGTTGCGAGATATTTTGTCATTACTCTGTAAAATGATAAAAGAATGGTTAATTAAAAAAAATCTGTGACTACAAACTCTAATAATAATAATCTAATCTCTAATAGACTAATCAATCTCATTTTGACTATTATTTTACAAGAGCTCAAGTAGAAAGTCAATATGACTGTTAAATTATTTAATAGCTCGATAACATTTACAAACTCTTTAAGCGCCTTTTTTATACCATAAAGATGGTAAACAAGCATACAGCTCGTCTGATGGTAAACATTCACCTTAGCTTATGGATACCTGTAACATTAGTGATGTTAAGGGACCGTGCCAAATTTCATTCTAATTCTATCGTTTGGTTGCAAGCACTTTAATTATTTTTTATTCTTATAACTCTATCACGGGATTCAGAATGATACTGTTTACAATGGAAATAAGCACAAGATAGTGTGAAATTAAATATTTATTTATTACAGACGCAACTCGAAACGATTAATAATACAACTCACTGAAAACTCTACACACGTGCTACATCTATAGATTCTAATGTATACTTAATAAATATTTTTTTTTATACAACTTAGAATAGCAAACAAGCTGACGGCCCACCTGATGGAAAGTGGTAACCGTCGCTTACAGACATGAGCAGTACCATGGACATAACAGAGTATACTGTTTCGCCCATGATACCCCCCATGCGTTGTCATTCCTGAGGACTCGGGTGTTATTCCTCTGTACCCAGTAAATTCACGCCATATCCCACCCTTCAAACCGAAACACAGCCATGCAAACATAAGTGCTTCACGGTTAAAACACGAATGGGACAAAGGTAATTTGACAGATAGACATAGAATATCACTGCCAACTAAAGTGAACCGAACAGATACCCACAACATGGAAGTTACTTGACAAATACTCTTAAAGAAAAAAAAATTCGCTTACCTTAATAGCAGCACATGATTTATTTATAGAATTCCTCAGGTTTTCTATATTCTTCTGCGCGCTCTCTTTGTCCTTCTTGAGTTGCGCGGTGGTCGTCTCCATGTCCTTCAAGTTGGCGTTGAGCGCCTTTATCTTCATGATCGCCTGGTAGCGAGGCCTGTGCTGCTTGCGCACCAGGTGACCTCGCACCGACTTCTGGATCGTGATGAGGCACTCGCGCCGATACAAAATCTTGTTCTTCACTGGGCACAGTGAATAAGAACATGTGACTCAAATAACTTGTCGTATGGTCTCGGCATAGAAAGAGACACGTCTTCCTTTCCAGTGGGTGTCGTAAGAGGTGACTAAGGAAATATATGGTTAAGAAATGGGCAGCAGCGCCTCTCTTAAAACATCAACAAAGCCTAATTACGGTTGCCAACTTGTCTGACAAGCGTGGCAACTACTGGCAATGCCCTTGCAAATGTTCAGCAGTGGACAGATAATGGTTGATATGATGGTAATAATGACTTAAATATAAAAATATTATATTCTAAATACGACATCTTACTTAGCAGAATAAATAGCTAGGACAACTTTACAATAATTCGATAAGGATCTTAATTGGTTTGTTAGTATAATAAAGCTTATTTGTAATTTTAAGTGCCGAAATTTATATTATTTCTACATTTTGGCACTTAAAATTACAAGTAATAAAATTTATTACTTAAAACCTTTTATTTTTAACTAGCTATATCCCGTGGCTTCGGCCGCGTGAATTAGTTTATAAAGTATCTATATGAGTTAACACATACCCGAGTTACGTACTTGATTTAAACCCAGTCAGTAGTTTTTACGTGAAAGTGTAACAGACATCCATCCATCGTTACAAACATTGACATTTATAATATTAATAAGATAGGAAAGACTTTCTTTTGTCTAGACATAAACAGCTATTAGACACGCTTTTGTAGTAAAACATCAAAATGTGTACTGAACATCTGTCTATTGTAGGTTTTGTTTAGGTACAATTTCGTGGTAAAACTGTAAATGTTTATATTGACTAATACTTACGTGATTATTACTTATGACTTATTGTAATTAATACTTACATTTGATAATAGACAATACAGCGAACAACGACCGTCTCCATCTCGACTTGATGATCCACGCGAGCACCCTATCCACGATCTTCTTTAAATTCTCCGGATCCGATCGCATGATCGTGTCGAACTCGGAGTACTTCCCGGGCCGGAAGAACACGCGGGTAATACCGAACTTGTAGTCCTTTTCGGATAGGCCTAGACTGTGCACGATCGCCTGTTGGGATCGTAAGATAATTTATTTTAATTATTTTCTCATTTATAATGGCATATTATAAAAGGAAGGAATTAAATCGTAAAGATATGCGACAATGGCGATAATTTGTTATTCTTGGTCAAACTGTAACGCCGTGAAAAGTCCAGATCACCGATATTCGGGTAACGAAAGTTTCGAAAAGCTAAATTAAATAGAATAGTTTCTTATGCGATCCACCACACTCAGTGGACGGTCTGCACTGAAAGATATATGCAATCGGAGATATGTTGAATGTGGCTGCTATGTTCGGGTACCGATCTTAGGTTACCGAAGATAATAATTACGATTTATGTATGTTTATTTTATATGTAGTCTATTTACATTGTACTCTTTTTCCTGTATATTTCCTGCACTAGATTACCCGCTAATTACTTCCTCTCTAACTGCATTGGATTGGCTGGAAGAGATTTCTTTTAGTGATAAACCCACCCTTGCTAGCAAGTTGTTAAACTAATCGTTCAACAAATCGCACAACTCGCAGACTGAAACGCAGAATGCCCCAAGACTTGATTCGACGTCGCTCCAGATAAAAATATGAACATAATATTTATAAGTGGCGAGAGGTACTCGGGATAGCGGAAATCGGAACACATTTGATGATCGTTCGAGATGTTTTTTATTTTTTAATTTATTTTTTGTAAGTGATTTCTGTCGCTATCTTTGAGGCGACAACTTTCCAATCTTTCATACAGAAAGAAAAATAAAGAATCTGTAAAATTGTAACTGTGTGTTTTTTTAATATTATATATATATATATATATATATATATATATATATATATATAATATTATGTATGTATGGTATGCTACTACCTTGGCTAGTGGCTAGTTACCTCGCTGAAGAGCTTGGGGTGGAGGTGCGCGAGGCGCGGCGGCAGGTGGGGCCCGTAGACGCGGTGCAGGTGGTCGAAGGGCGCGCGCGACGGGAAGCCGTGCTCCATGAGGTGCAGCAGCGCCGCCGTGCCCGAGCACTGCAGCTGCGCCAGCACCAGCGCGCCCGCCGCCGCGCGCCGCGACATCACCGAGTTCGGCTTGATGCACCGCACGAAGTTCGTGCCCTGCGCGCCGCCCGTCCAGTAACCGACATATTACTCCCCATTGCTATCAATATACCCCATCAGGTCGACCTCCACGCGGTTCCCGCTGGGAACCATCGTGACTAATTTATGATTGAATTCATCACGATATGCTAACTGACCTGCCTTTTCATCCTCACCTATCATCTCTCACTGGTGCCCCGCCAGTGTATACCGATAGCGCAGGCGGTGTTACCATCTCATTATCAACCATTTAAAAAAAGAAAAAAGACCCGACCATAATACAGTCTGTTATTTCTAATTGTATAGTACATTCCATAGTGGAAGAAAAGGATTATTAGTAATAGGGTCTAATATCCCCATTTTTAGAAATATACCCTCTCAGGTCGACCTCCACGCAGTGCCCCCTGGAAACCATCATGGTTAATTCTTGTCGAATTCATCATGGTGGACCTACTGACCTGCATTCATTCTCATTTATCATCTGCCACTGGTGCCTCGTTGGTGTATACCGATAACGCGGACAAGGTTACCATTCCATTTTCACCCATTAAAAAAAATACACTCCATAGTAACAAAAATAGATTAATGGATTGAATATTTCGAACTGTTACTAATTTCTTTTTTTTTATATATATATATATATATATATATATATATATATATATATATATATATATATATATATATATATATATATATATATATATATATATATCAACCCTATCATACATACATAGAGTACGTTGTTTTTATTTCTCAAATAATATTTTTTTTTACTTTGTCTACACATTAGTCGAGATGAATTAATGAACATCAATAATTTTACACAGATATTAAAAAAAAATCTAATTAAATTTTGTCTAATATAGACTAAATAAAATAGACTAAAAATAAGCCCAGCAACAGACTATACTCCAAACGATTTTTTTATTATTAAATAAATTAATATATCCAATTTAGTTATAAAAATACATCAGGTTCAATAAACATTTTTTATAACACATAGAATCGAAAACGAGTCGACAACCCACCTAATTAAAAGTACTATCGTAAATAGCATGTTAATAAAAAAAATATCTGGTATATAAACCTTATAAATTAAATTAAAACCTATGGCACATATATATACGTATTATATTAAAAAATCCTACTGCATACTTACATTGTCTTTAAGCTTTTCCATAAGTTGCGACAACTGACTCTGGAACTTAGCGCCGACTGATATAAAGTTTAATTTGCCTTTGGCATTGTTGTTGTCTACATTCTGGAACAGCTGTTTCACTAATGCCGAGTTCGATTCTTGAACGAGGAACTCGAGAGACGCGTGGAGAGCGTCGTTGTTTTTCTCTATGAATTGATTCTGAAATTAAGATTATAATTATTAATTAATATGTAAAATTCATATTTTTTTTATTAATTTATTTATTTCATAGGCTGAATGAGCTTTACAGTTTTCCAATACGCTCAAAAATAATAATATAAAATAAGTAAAAAAAATACTTATTATATTTTATATGTTTATGACAAATATAGTGCAATTTTGAAAATTTATGTTCCTTTTTATTTATTTATAATTTTATTATATCATAAATTAATCGTCCATTGCTGAACATAGGCCTCTCCCGTAAAGAGGGATTTTGCCACGCTTAGCAGATGGGTTGGCAAACACAGTTAGGCCTTTGGTGATATTTTAAGAGGGACCTTGCTACCTTAAGAATTAATAAAATTAATTTATTACATCGCTCGATAACTTATTTCTTTTAGTCGCCTCTTACTAGTTTAGTTTGATTACATTTAATTTCTTTAATATAAAACTTTCAATATCCATATTGATATGTGTTGATTACAATAAATACATTTTAACACAAATAAATTTTGACGAATGCAAAATAATAATAATAATAATCATTGCAGAATTTGCGAGGATATTGTGAAACATACACACTAAAAATTCTTTCAAATTGAGAAACTCCTATCTTTTGAAAAGATATGTTTAAATTGTTTATTATATATGGCAAGAAAAAAAAAAAACAATTACACCTGTACATAGAAAGAATCAAGTGGTAACATTTTGAAATCCTTACTAATATTATAAATGTGAAAATTAGTTTGTTTGTTACCTATTGTCTTAACAACTTAATCGATAACTATGAAATTTGGTATACACGTATTATATATATATATATATATATATATATATGAAATGTAAGACATAGGCTAGCTTTTATCCCAGTCATGTAGATGCAGTCACAAATATAAGCTAGTTATTAATAAAATTATAAAATAATATAATAATAACATTTTATTACCGTATTATAGCACACAGCGCCTGCGAAGTGTCGAAGTAGGAAGCCTTCATCGTCACGCAGTGTGCGGTGGGCCTTAAGTCTCGATGCGCGCGGCACCTGTAGTCTAATAGCAACAACAACTTGTTAGTTTAAACCTTATGGCTCAAGTTAAAGTACCTGCAAAAGCAGAAACGCTGATTTTCAATTAGCAATTTATCATTAGTCAAACATTTATCACAAAAATACATGTAAATCAATCAGGTTTTTCTTATAATTAAAACAGAATGCTAAGAATTATGATTTCATTCATGTATTATTAATATATCTTGTAGTAATTACTAACCTGGAGTTGTTGGTGCCCAGTTCCTTGTGAACGGAGTGCGTGAAGTGTCCGAACTCTGGTTTCGGCAGTTTGGACTCCTCGTCCAAGAGGTGGAATATTCCGTGGTTCTTACTTTCGATTAAATCTGTTTTTAAAAAATTATCATATAATAAAATAATTATTAAATATATATTAATTTTTTAATATTACCTCGCTGTTATTGTGTCCAGCGTAAGTTGAATTTAAGTAATATATCAAGTGAGCCCAGTCAATATATTCGTACACTGTATAAAAAAATTATGAATTTCAACATTTTACATTTGCAGTTTACGTAATAATTTGTTTATTACATGGTAATTTTTTAAACTTACGCAAAATTATATAATAAATATAATATAATAAATTAAATAATAATCAAAAGGGTGACTTTGTACAAAAGTCGATTGCTTGGGTACCTCTGTCCAATTCATGTTTCTACCGTGAAGCAGTTGTGTTTGCATGGCTGTGTTTCAGTTTGAAGGGTGGGATATGGCGTGAGTTTACTGGGTACAGATGTATAACACCTGAGTCCTCAGGAATGGCGACGCATTGGCGGTATAATCGGCGAAACAGTATACTGTTATGTCCATGGTCTATGTCTATAGGCGACGGTTACCACTTTCCATCAATGTGGGCCGTCAGCTTGTTTGCTATTCTAAGTAGTATAATAAAAAAAATAGCAAACGTTATTGTGCCAAATAATCTTTGATGATGTTATTAGAGGAACACTGCTACGCATCCCCCGAGCGTTAAGCTCCCTTATTCACCTCTTACGACATTCAAGGGAAAGGAAAGGGTGGAACATTCTATGCCAGGAGCACATGGCAATAAAAATTACACATAGCATCACAGTTTTTAATAACTATAGACGACTATTACCATTTTCCATCCTATGGGATTTTAGCATGTTTGCCAAAATCAGAGAGTAATTCATCTGAGGTTGTAATTAATATGTAATGTTATATTATGTGTAACTCACCTATACAATCTTGGTTGTCCACGTATCTGATCTCTGGCACGTTTAGTCCTTCCTTCTTGTACAACTCCTGTTCATTTTTCAATATGCGCTCGTTAAAGAACTGTTGCAGTTTTTCATTGCAATAATTTATGCAGAACTGCTCAAAACTGTTCATTTGGAAGTATTCTGAAAGTAATAAAGAATTTTTCTAACTTCTTGACGTCATAATCAGCGTCAGTGTTGCCCGATTGGGCATTATTTTCGCAATTTTAAGTAAAAAAATTGTGTACGAGAAATTTTGCGAAATGAAATTAAATTGAAGAAATATCTGAAGAAGGGTGTAAAGGAATTGGAGAAATTTACGTAGTTTGTTGTAAACTGTACAATTATTATTATATAATTACAATAAAATATATTAATGAAGGTAGCGGCGTATTTTCTCGTCGTTCCGCTCGTTGTAGTTACATAGTAAAACATAGTGAAAATCAATACAAGTTTGTGATCGGGCAAAACCGTATTGATAAGGAGAAAAAATATTTGTCATTCAATTACAAATAAAAAATAGCATCTGGCAACCCTGAGGAACGTGTAAACTATTCTATATATAAAGTTATGATACATTCTACCCCTTTATCAAATTTTATTCGAATTATTCTATTCAGTAGTTTTGTATAAGAGCAACATCCTTATTACAAACTTTTGCGTTTAAAATAATAGCAGGAACTACACTAAACAATGTATTAAAATTTCTCTATTTTAGTAGAAAAAATACTTTTTCTCAAACATGCTTGGAAATGTGAGCATTATTTTGACAATCTTTTTTGCGATAAATCAAAATTGGCGTACTGGCCCGATATATGAGGGCAGCGGCCGGCTAAAGTTGTATGAAAATCTATATCTGTCGTGTTTTACGCCCAGATAAATTACTATGTAAATAATCATAGTCATATCTGTCCTGTAATTTAAAAATGGAATGACCTTTTACTTCGAAACATGGCTACCAAGGAGGTAACTAATAAAAGGTTTTATTTAAATTTTGAACTGGCTTGCAAATGGAAAGCTGTTTATTAAAAAAAAAAAAAAAAAACAAAGGAACATTAGGGCGCGTGAAAAATTATTATTGTTCGTTATTCGTCATCGAACTTAAAAAGTAAAATTGTATTTTTGATTTCCGCGCATTGTTTGAGAAAAGTACTATAAAAGCCTTGGCCACAACTAGGCAATGATGGACTCACGTATGTGTGCCTCGGCTACGCCTAGGCCCACATTTGCTCGTTCGTCCATCAATACCTTAGTTGCTGGCCGCTGCAGTAATGTACTATTGAGTTACATAAAAAGATTAATAGTCGAGAAGAGCGAGCAAGAAATTTGACTGTTCATGTATATTTTTTTTCATGCCTGTTCATCAAATGATAGAAATATAATTTACCGAAACCGGCGATATCCAATACGCCGATGTAGTAGGAGGAGGCCTGGAACGGTATGCTCAGGTTGATCCGGTTGACGATGTAGTCGAATAGCCGGCTATACACGGCCTTAGCGAGCGCGTCCCGGGCATTCGTCGCCTCGTACGTCTTCAGAGGCACCCTGCCATCATCACAGAGAATAAATTGTGCTACTTTTTTTTTCTAATGTCATTGCAAATATTAATTCGTTTTATTTATTTATTTACAGGAAAACAAGGGCTACACTAGAGTAAATAGATATAGTTTAGAATTACAAACTAAATATAACATAATAGATTAAAGGCACTGCATTTCATTACTATATTAGAATTATGCATGTAAAATGAGTCAGTCAGTTTATATCAATTAAGATCGTATCAGCGCGGCGCAGTTTGACGCTGTTGGTAAGTAATGTACGGGAGGTGTGTACTGTGTACTATGCAGTATATAGTGTGCCCTGTAGTGTGGTGTGCGCAACTCAGTGTCGTCGGTGAGTAGTATCCGGGAGATGTGCATTGTGTATATGGGGGTGCCGTCGTGTCGGGCACGCGCCGCGTGTGTAGTGTGCCACGTGTAGTGTGTAGGGCGCCGTGTACCGACATGATGGCGGTTCCCTTGTGCCGCGTGTAGCGTGTCGCGTATCGACATGATGGCGGTGTCCTTGTGCCGCGTGTAGTGTGCCGCGTGTAGTGTAGCGCGCCGCGTGCAGCGTGCAGCGTGCAGCGTGCGGTGTACCGACATGATGGCGGTGCCCTTGTGGCCGGCGCGCGCGCTCTGCAGCAGGCGCGCGACGAGTGCGCGGCGCAGCTCGCCGCCGTCGACTGCGAGCAGGGCGGCGGCGGCCTGCAGCGCGCGCCGCGTGTGTAGTGTGTAGTGTGTAGTGTGTAGTGTGCCGCGTGTAGTGCAGCGTACCGACATGATGGCGGTGCCCTTGTGGCGGCGCGCGCGCTGCAGCAGGCGCGCGACGCGTGCAGCGCAGCTCGCGCCGTCGTACCGGCGGCGGCCTGCACGCGCGCCGCGTGATGGCGGTGCCCGCGCCGCGTGCAGCGTGTGCAGCCGACATGATGGCGCGCGCGCGCGCGCTCTGCAGCAGGCGCGCGGCGAGTGCGCGGCGCAGCTCGCCGCCGTCGACGGCGAGCAGGGCGGCGGCGGCCTGCAGCGCGCGCCGCGTGTGTAGTGTGTAGTGTGTAGTGTGTAGTGTGCCGCGTGTAGTGTAGCGCGCCGCGTGCAGCGTGCAGCGTGCAGCGTGCGGTGTACCGACATGATGGCGGTGCCCTTGTGGCCGGCGCGCGCGCTCTGCAGCAGGCGCGCGACGAGTGCGCGGCGCAGCTCGCCGCCGTCGACTGCGAGCAGGGCGGCGGCGGCCTGCAGCGCGCGCCGCGTGTGTAGTGTGTAGTGTGTAGTGTGCCGCGTGTAGTGTAGCGCGCCGCGTGCAGCGTGCAGCGTGCAGCGTGCGGTGTACCGACATGATGGCGGTGCCCTTGTGGCCGGCGCGCGCGCTCTGCAGCAGGCGCGCGACGAGTGCGCGGCGCAGCTCGCCGCCGTCGACTGCGAGCAGGGCGGCGGCGGCCTGCAGCGCGCGCCGCGTGTGGTCGTGTGTAGTGTGTAGTGTGTAGTGTGCCGCGTGTAGTGTAGCGCGCCGCGTGCAGCGTGCAGCGTGCAGCGTGCGGTGTACCGACATGATGGCGGTGCCCTTGTGGCCGGCGCGCGCGCTCTGCAGCAGGCGCGCGACGAGTGCGCGGCGCAGCTCGCCGCCGTCGACTGCGAGCAGGGCGGCGGCGGCCTGCAGCGCGCGCCGCGTGTGTAGTGTGTAGTGTGTAGTGTGCCGCGTGTAGTGTAGCGCGCCGCGTGCAGCGTGCAGCGTGCAGCGTGCGCGCGCGCTCCGACGCGCGATGATGGCGGTGCCGCCGTCGACTGCGAGCAGGCCGGCGCGCGCGCTCGCAGCAGGCGCGCGACGCCGCGTGCGCGGCGCAGCGCCGCCGTCGGCGCGCGAGCAGGCGCGGCGGCGGCGCAGCTGCCGCCGTCGACTGCGCGCGCCGCGTGTGTAGTGTGTAGTGTGTAGTGTGCCGCGTGTAGTGTAGCGCGCCGCGTGCAGCGTGCAGCGTGCAGCGTGCGGTGTACCGACATGATGGCGGTGCCCTTGTGGCCGGCGCGCGCGCTCTGCAGCAGGCGCGCGACGAGTGCGCGGCGCAGCTCGCCGCCGTCGACTGCGAGCAGGGCGGCGGCGGCCTGCAGCGCGCGCCGCGTGTGTAGTGTGTGTGTGTAGTGTGTAGTGTGTAGTGTGCGCGCCGTGTAGCGTGCAGCGTGCGGTGTAGCGATGGCGCCCTTGTGGCCGGCGCGCGCGCTCTGCAGCAGGCGCGCGACGAGTGCGCCGCCGTCGTGCAGCGTGCGCGCGCGCCGCGTGTACCGACATGATGATGGCGGTGCCCTTGTGGCCGGCGCGCGCGCTCTGCAGCAGGCGCGCGACGAGTGCGCGGCGCAGCTCGCCGCCGTCGACTGCGAGCAGGGCGGCGGCGGCCTGCAGCGCGCGCCGCGTGTGTAGTGTGTAGTGTGTAGTGTGCCGCGTGTAGTGTAGCGCGCCGCGTGCAGCGTGCAGCGTGCAGCGTGCGGTGTACCGACATGATGGCGGTGCCCTTGTGGCCGGCGCGCGCGCTCTGCAGCAGGCGCGCGACGAGTGCGCGGCGCAGCTCGCCGCCGTCGACTGCGAGCAGGGCGGCGGCGGCCTGCAGCGCGCGCCGCGTGTGTGTGTGTGTGTAGTGTGTAGTGTGCCGCGTGTAGTGTAGCGCGCCGCGTGCAGCGTGCAGCGTGCAGCGTGCGGTGTACCGACATGATGGCGGTGCCCTTGTGGCCGGCGCGCGCGCTCTGCAGCAGGCGCGCGACGAGTGCGCGGCGCAGCTCGCCGCCGTCGACTGCGAGCAGGGCGGCGGCGGCCTGCAGCGCGCGCCGCGTGTGTAGTGTGTAGTGTGTAGTGTGTAGTGTGCCGCGTGTAGTGTAGCGCGCCGCGTGCAGCGTGCAGCGTGCAGCGTGCGGTGTACCGACATGATGGCGGTGCCCTTGTGGCCGGCGCGCGCGCTCTGCAGCAGGCGCGCGACGAGTGCGCGGCGCAGCTCGCCGCCGTCGACTGCGAGCAGGGCGGCGGCGGCCTGCAGCGCGCGCCGCGTGTGTAGTGTGTAGTGTGTAGTGTGTGTAGTGTGCCGCGTGTAGTGTAGCGCGCCGCGTGCAGCGTGCAGCGTGCAGCGTGCGGTGTACCGACATGATGGCGGTGCCCTTGTGGCCGGCGCGCGCGCTCTGCAGCAGGCGCGCGACGAGCGCGCGGGCGCGCGACGCTCGCCGCCGTCGACTGCGAGCAGGGCGGCGGCGGCCTGCAGCGCGCGCCGCGTGTGTAGTGTGTAGTGTGTAGTGTGTAGTGTGGCGTGTAGTGTAGCGCGCCGCGTGCATCGTGAAGAGTGCAGCGTGCGGTGTACCGACATGATGGCGGTGCCCTTGTGGCCGGCGCGCGCGCTCTGCAGCAGGCGCGCGACGAGTGCGCGGCGCAGCTCGCCGCCGTCGACTGCGAGCAGGGCGGCGGCGGCCTGCAGCGCGCGCCGCGTGTGTAGTGTGTAGTGTGTAGTGTGTAGTGTGCCGCGTGTAGTGTAGCGCGCCGCAGCGTGCAGCGTGCAGCGTGCGGTGTACCGACGATGGCGGTGCCCTTGTGGCGCGGCGCGCGCGCGACGAGTGCGGCGCAGCTGCAGCGTGCGGTGTACCGACATGATGGCGGTGCCCGCGCCGCGTTGTGGCCGGCGCGCGCGCTCTGCAGCAGGCGCGCGACGAGTGCGCGGCGCAGCTCGCCGCGCGTCGACTGCGAGCAGGGCGGCGGCGGCCTGCAGCGCGCGCCGCGTGTGTAGTGTGTAGTGTGTAGTGTGTAGTGTGCCGCGTGTAGTGTAGCGCGCCGCGTGCAGCGTGCAGCGTGCAGCGTGCGGTGTACCGACATGATGGCGGTGCCCTTGTGGCCGGCGCGCGCGCTCTGCAGCAGGCGCGCGACGAGTGCGCGGCGCAGCTCGCCGCCGTCGACTGCGAGCAGGGCGGCGGCGGCCTGCAGCGCGCGCTCGCTGTCGGCGCGCGGCACGCAGCCGCCGCGCGGGCCCGCGTCCTCCTCGAACTCCACGTTGCCGAGGTGCAGCACGCCCGCCACCACGCGGTACACGCCCAGCTTCTCCTCCTCCGACAGCCCCACGCGGGATAGCGCCTGCGCCCACACACACCGACGTCATCACCCCGCACGCACGCACGCACGCACGCTTGTACACGCTCGCATACGTGTGTGCACATACACGCATACATACTATCAACACATTGTAAGCGAGAAACGTGTGAACTCGTTTGTCGCCTTTTGGTACTGAAACGCGGGAGACGACAATTTTTTTTACTATTAATAGTTTTGTGACCGGCAATAGTTTCATGATTTGTTTGCACGTTTCGCGCGACCTATCGATAGTCAAGAAAAAACTAGTTTAGTCGTGTCCAGCGTTTCAGTATTAAAAGGCGAGAAACGAGTTTACACGTTAACCGCGTACAATGTGTTAATTATTGCTATTTCATTTCAATTAGTAATAGTAATTTAAATATTTGTAATACAACCACTCTAATTATCTAACTCTAACTACCGGTAAGATATCTTTTACATAAAACATTAAACAAAAAACATCTAAAGCTATAATCCAATATACCCAAATTGAATTTTTTAAAACTTCGTTTCTTAAACTGATTCAATTAAAAATCAAATTCAGCACTCGTACAAATCAAGTTGCCTACCACTACGCGACAGACTATAAATAAAAATTAGAATCTGATTAGAATTGTTGTATTAAAAATATAATTGATTATTTTCCTATATACCTCTAAACGAATACCAAATACGTCTTACCTGATGAAGTCTTTGGAAATCCTCAACGTCATCCAAAATTGGATCCCGTAAACCTCCTTTTGCCTGTTGCTGTTTACTCTTCTGATCAGGACTCAATTTTTTCTCAGACGCAGCCGTAGTGAAGTATTGTGTACACCCATTTCTCAAATACTAAAAACAATATATGTAAGTTTTATATAAACGTATACGGAGTTTAAATTTAAAAAGTACACAAAGGAATTACGTATCCCGTCTCTTATGAAATTTATATAATTTTCATGTCCACTGATCGAATTTAGGAAAATACAGACAATTCTATTCGCTACAATTTATAATTAAAAAATGAAGCATAAGCATATAACCATACAAAAATAGATACAAGAACGGAAAATAAATATTCCATTCTGAACTCAGAATATAAATATCTCTATAATTCGTCAGAAAAGAAAGCCATGAATTAACTGTATCCGTAGAATTTTGGCAACTTTATTTTTGGTACTCACTTGTAGTTGGGGTAATTTAAACGACGCGATTTAAACATTTGTTCTTAATAAACATATACCCATTAAAAAAAAAAAAAAACTTACAGCATAATCATCAGGCTTGGTGAGCATCAATGCAGATCTCAACTCTGGCGGTGCACCAGCGCAAAGCAAATAGAACACATGGTAGTTTCGCTCTTCGGCACTCTGCGTGCATATTCTCGACTTTTCTAGAAGGTAGTGAGAAATATAGCCTCCCACCACTTGGTATTTATTATTGAAGTGGACCTCCATGAATTTGCCGAATCGCGAACTGTTGTTGTTTCGTGTAGTTTTCGCGTTACCGAACGCTTCTAGTATCGGATTTGCTGTAAAAAATATATCCATCCATTGTAGATAATAGAAGTCATAGATGACGATATATTTATTTATTTATAAAAGAAAAACCAAAATTTATTTACATAAAAAGAAATTAACTGCAAGAAAACAATGATGAACTCACTTTTAAGTTTTCATCAATACATATAATATACAAAATTTGACAATGCTTGCCTCAGATAAATAACTCAAAGAGTATAGGATTATTTATCTCAGGCACCCATATACACGTGAGGCAAACATGTGTACTACATGTAATATAGTGAACAATTAATATATAATAAATGTATTCAATATAAAACAGACACTTCCTAGTCAAAAAATTTGCCAACTCCCTATATTCGTCGCTGTGAATATTTTACTATGAAATATATCAATATCTAATTGTATATTTAATTTATTAAAATTGTTCATTGCTCGTCACATATAACTGTTTTGTCTATAGTTTGTTGAAACGACGGGAATAGAAAATGGAGGGTTAAATCTGAATACTTAATAAATAATAACTGTTAAGGTTGTATATCTTTTTCCTGGAATAATTGTACAATAATTAAATAAATAAAATGGTATTTTAATGATTTCTCATTCGATAGGCAAACCCTTTCAATTAAATTAATTATTATAGATGTTATCACCATTTAAGTCACAAAGAAATCAGTGTAAATACGTATTTTAAAATACTGATTAAACATAGATATGATAAATATACATTTTAAGCTACTTTAAAAAAAGGTAATTTTTTTAAAGTAGCTTAAAATGTATAAAAGTAAATGTGCATTAAAGTAATAATAGACTATATTGTTTATATTTATCATAACATAACGACGAATAGTCCGACACGTGAATTAATGTTAATGAATTCAAATTAATTCTAACAAATGAGGTTATATATTGCATAAGCGGTATGTTCGTTCACATAATGGCAATGTCCTTGATTGAATCTATTAAAACTTAACAATCAATCCAACATTTTTGTACAAACAGGTACAAGGACACAAAAAATACTATTAGACTTAATATTTTTGCATGCGTATAATTAAATTGCGTGTATGAATAGATCTACAATACATATAACGGAATAGATATATCAAGTCGAAATCTCAGCGTTACTACTCGTGAAATATACGTGTTGAAATCAAAAGAATTACTAACATTTGTAGGAAGCGTTCTAGCAGTAAACATTTTTTCCAAGGACAAAAAAAATCAACACAAATTTTAAATAGTTAAGCATTGATTAAATAAAAAAATTAATAATACATAATGAAGTACCTAAAACAGACATTGACTATGTTATGGAACTTTTACGGTTTCGCTACCTTGTACGACTCACTTGTTTTCATACTTGTAGAGGCTTGGAGGCCCTCTAAAGGTCACTACCCGTACTTTGAAAAACACTGTGTTAAGATATAGGATCTCTACACTTACCGTCTAAAATCTTTTGTTCCACGGGCCCCGCGCCTTTCGCCCATAAATCACAGAGGTATTTCAATATGTACTTAGTGGACTCTGTCTTGCCAGCGCCGGATTCACCTGATACTATAATTGACTGCGATTGTTTGAGGGACTTCATGTCGCGGAATGCTTTATCGGCTGGAAACATTGGATAGAAAATTAAATATTAATTCTATGAATTTGTGTTCTGGGTGGTGGTGCTTTACAGATCTAAATATAGATGTAAACGACTTGTTAAAACAAAAACTAGTTGTTATCCGCGAATTTGGGCGCTAATTTTATATATAAATCACTGCATTGGGTTGACCCGGCATAGAATGGGCTGCCCCTACCTTTCCCGTGGGTGTCGTAAGAGGCGACTAAGGGAGAGCGAGGATGAGCAGCAACGTCCCTGTTAAAATATCTCTAAAAACCTAACTGCGGTTGCCAACCCGCCTGCCAAGTGTGGCAACTACTAGCAAAACTCTCTTATGGAGAAGGATTATATCCAACAATGGACAGTTAACGGCTGAAATAATAATAAAAGCAATAATTGGTTTGACTGTAAAAGATCTCTTTCAGAGAAAAGCCTACCCTTGCGAACAAGACGTTAAAATAATCGCTGTATCTTTTTTTAAGTACAATAAAGAATATATTCATAAATAACATTATTTGTCCAACTGTGTGGTGATGAAGTAAAATAAAAAAAAAAAAAAAACAAAATGACACCAATATTTCACATCGTCAAACAGTTGTAAGAAACGATTAGCGGAACAAGTACATATAAATCCACCTAGCGTGATTTCAGCTTATTTGCCATTCTAAGTATAAAAAAAAGGTTGGATAGTAGGCTAATAGGACTTGTGTTACCTCACCAGAATTACAGTGATGATAATAGTTAAGCGACAGTAGCCACTTTCCATCAAGTTGGTCGTCAAATTTGCCATTCAAATTTACAAGACTTATTACAAAAGTCGTTTGTTTGGATATCTCCCAGTCGTGTTTCTGCCGTGAAGCAGCTTTGTTTGCATGGTTCTGATTCGGTTTGAAGGGTGAGATTATAATGAAATTACAAGGTACAAAAACATAACACCTTAGTCCTCAAGAATGGCAACGCATGAAGGGTATCATGGGCTACACAGTATAATCTGTTATGTCCATGGCTCATGTCTATAGGCGACGGTTACCATTTTTCCATAAGGTGGACCGTCAGCTTGTTTGCTATTCTAAGTTACCAGTGCATAAAAACATAATTGCTTTGTGTACAGCGCCTTGTATCTATATTGTTGCTACTTGTGAAAATCTATTAGTGGCTTATTTTGTGATCCTAAACTGTATTTTTTTGTTCTAGTAAAGCCCTAGTTTTCCTATGAATAAATAAATAAATAAAATAAATAAATAAAAAACTGGTTCACGGTTAATGTGAACTAAGACTATGGTTTGTCAGCAATGTTTTTCAATTTGTATTGTTACATTTTATCGTTGCGGCGTGTGTTGGCAACATCACTGTTGACAATGGGATTATCACGACTGAATATAATACTCCAACTTCATGGATAAACGGAGACTGCATTGGTATTCAATCGCTCGTGAAATCAGAGTTACTGTTCAGTTGCACGAATACCGTTAAGATTTGGTCGTCGCGTCCCATTCGTCTCAGTTTCGCAACTCGTAGGTACAATCAATACAATGACGGTCAAGAGCTCAAGACTGACACTATTTATTTATCTATTCTTTATTGACCAAATTACAATAAAATGTTTGGTATAAAAGACGGATTTAATGCTATATAGTATTCTCTCTTAATCAACCATTGGCAAAACAGAAATGTAATTATGTTGTGAAAAAAATGAAAATTATTTTAGATAAACAGTTACAGTCCTATCTTTATTGACTCACAAATTATATAATATGTATATACAATGGAGAACTACTGCACATTATGACTATATAAATATACTTACAAGAATACATTAAACAAATATTACTTACACATACAAATATATATAAAAAAATCATACATACAAATATAAATATACATACATATAGGACAACATACAATAATACCAATAAAGTAACGATAGAGATCAAAGGTGATGATAATGATGATGATGAACTGCTTTCACAGCTTCTTCATAAGAGATTCGTGGACTTTTTTATGGGCAGGTTATTTCTTATGAAACATTATAGGCTATTCAACATCACTATATGGCAACGGGCGAAGCTACGGGATAAAGCTAGTATGTAATAACAACAAATGTGCATTTTGATCGATCGAATCGATCGAAGACCGATCTTACTGTTCAAAATAGCATTTTTAAATTAATAGTTAATGTAATGGTGAGTTTATTCTCCTAGTTTATCTTCCAAAATTTTTGAGTTGGAAAGTAAAGGCAACAGAGCGCATTCTTGCGCCACTATACAGAGATTGTGACGCACTAGTAGATTGATTTACTATTCCCTCTAAAAGATTATAGCCAAATGAGAGTATGATGATATCAGCAGTACTGTCCACTGTTGAACATAGGCCTCCCTCTTAGGGGGTTTCGTCAGTAGTTGCCACGCTTAGCAGGTGGGTTGGCGACCGCGGTTAGGCTTTGGCAATGTTTTAAGAGATGCTGCTGCCTATCTCTCCATCATTAAGTTCCCTTAATCGCCTCTTACGACACCCACGGGAAAGGAAAGGATGACCTATTCTATGGTAGGACGACACGGAATTATATTTAATTACAGTATAATAATAGGCAGGAATAATAGAATACGAGAAGAGTAATGTGTAACTCTTACTTACCTATAGCAAACACGTGCGGCGGCAGTTCACCGAGGGATCGGCCTTGGTACTTCTTGATTGTATTTGACGAATATAGGTCGGGTATGTCTTCGTAAGGGTTCACGGCAAGCAAGATATTCGCTACGTATGTCTGTAAAGAAATACAAAAATATGTACTATTTTCCTATCCAAAGGATTATAAGAGACTTATATTTTGTAATATAATAAAAAATCTTGTAAATATTTATTTTCATGACAAAAATATTTCATATTCTAATACAAAAATAACACACTGAACAAAAGAAGATAGAGATACCAAGATTACTGATTTTCAAATTAGGATTCTTTAAAACCAACAAACCAATGGATACTCAAAATTTGATCGGTTCTATCGAAACATGGACATAATAGAAAAGGTTGCATAGACATAGTTACACTTTTGACAATGCCTTGTTATACCATATACAGATATAATATCAATTACATAATAAATAAATAATAAAAACCTATATTAATAAATTAAAAATTGTGTTCCACAAAAAAAAAACAACTTTCATTGTGACAAAACCAGTAATTTTAATTTAAAAACTAAACTACTAAATCGATTTTGATAAAATTTCTATGAAACTAAGGCGTCAGTTTTCAAATGAAAAAAGAATTTTCCAAATCGGTTAACAACCGACGAAGTTAGAAGATAACAAACAAAAAAAAATTCAACCGAACTGTGAACTTAGTAACTTCTTATTGTAGTTTGTTGATGTTTGTTCTTATTGTAGTTGGTTGAAATTCTATAGAGCCATCTTTGATGGAGCTATCAGAGGCATTTGTCGACTGTTAACATTGTAGAAAAAGTATAAAGAAAATTGTATAAAAAAAATTATATATATTGTCGTGTTTCAATTGACTACAAATACATTTAGTTATAAGAATAGAAGTAATATTGACTATTTATGCAGTTTCTTCTTATCTAGTTAGTGCAATGATGCAGCAAGGTAACTCAAGAAGTAAATCAATACAAAACGATATACAATACCGATATATAAATATGTATATTATATTTGTGACGACAAATTACGTTCAAGGCAATAGTAATGTATTACGAACTATCTACAAGGTGGCTTGCATGATTCATAGTCATATCGTGCTAATAACTTGAAGTGTGTGTCGTTTGAACTGTATGTTTTTTTTTTTAATAATTAAGCGTACAGTCCATTTGGTGACGAAGGATTAATAATATACAAGTTATAGGAATGAAAAAAATTACATTCAAACAAATCATCATTATTCAAATAGACTTCTTTACAAGCACTTTTAAATCGTCATTTTTTATGAGTGCAGATTATATTCAGCATACCAACCAAGAAGCTAGCTGAGAACAGTCCTCCAGTTTACAACCTCAAAACACCACAGGTTCTGTCCTTAATATATGATTCAAGATTCAATCTTCAAGATTATTTATTTGTAAAACATGCGTATAAATACATGCAGATGTTGACAATATAATATCGTTCGACATATTTAGCCTGTACGGCATACAAAAATATGTAGTTACACAGATAGTTCACAAGTCAAGTCCATTTTATACCATTAATCGTCATCACATTACAATTTTAAATACATATATATACAAAAATTTAAATAAATAATAATTGTCAGGCAAGAATAAAAGAACGATGTATGCTGAGAACAGTCTGATCTGTGGCTACAGCTAGTTTAACAATATTAAGAGCTTTTTACCACTTTTCTAGTGCAACAAAAATTGTATGAATATTATTTATTTATGTATGAATATTATAGTTTGCGGTAGGTATGAATCATTATTATAGTTTACTAGCTTTGACTCGCGACTTTATCCGCTTGACCTGGTTACTTTTAGTTACCGGGATAAAAAGTAACCTATATCCTTCTATAATGGGCATTCCAAATTTCATAGTCATTGGCTAAGCCGTTAAAACGTTAAGTAATGATTAGGGAGTCAGTATTTTGTTTCCAATAATCCTTTTGACCATCGGCAGTATTGATAAACATAAAAGAAAAAACAATATTATTAATGGATAAATTAAACGAGATATAAGTACGACTTACGTAGATTTTGTTTTTCGTATACCGCGTCAGTATATTGTTGAGTAACGTCGCCTCATTCAGGAACATTAGCTCGCCTGAAAACAAAAAAGTCATCATTATAATGATTTATCATAATGACCAAATGGCTGGGTAATTGGTAAGGTACACAACATTCGTAATGTCGACGATTCGTTTTTGCTAGACGAATTGAATGTGTTCTTTTAGTAAAAGCTTATCCCTTTATTCATAGAAACTAAAACCTACAAACCTTATTTAGCTATTGAAGTGTTTTGTCACTATCTTTCAAATTGAGAATCTAGCGCAAAAGAACAGGACAACATACGTCAATAACTAAAATAGGTTTATATGAGGTTTTTTAATGAACAAGGGGGTAAAATATAATTTAATTTCATGTTTTAAGTAATTTTTATAAATAAATTAAAATTCTGGCCGTATGATCCCGGCATAGAATTCCTACGGGTATGGGCCTCTCTTAAAACATTTCTAAAAGCGAAACTCCCCTTATGAGGAACGCTTATGTTCAGCAGTGGACAGTAACCGGCTGAAATGATGACGACGAATTAAAATTTTACTTAGAAATAGCTCCTTCAATTGTGACAAAATTATTAAGGGGCCAACATATAAAACCTCCTCCTCACCAAAGCCGCTAAAAATAGACGAATTCTTAACTGACTCGCTTTGAATATGTAATACGTTATATATTATGTACGCTCGTGAATGCCTTTTAGTATTGACGTAATAATTGTTAATTTTGCTAACTAGTCTCATTGTTATGGAGACAATAGCTAAGCGATTAATTCTAGTCGTAAATTACTTTAAAATATCAGTTCTATTTGGTGTGGTATTTAATAAAACTTGTTTCCAAAAAATCGGGTTGGGATAATCGATGCGGGCAATAGCTGGTTGAGTCATATTTCGCTATGTAATTGTAGATAGCCAATGCATATTTCCTTTGGCAGTATATCAGTCCTTTAAAATACCAGGCTTTGAAATGAGACGCTACCATAACTCTGTCTATATAATATCATAATTATAAGTAAATTTTTCGATAAAAATATTATAAATAAACTAGTTTTTACCCGCGACTTCGTCATGATAGCATGTCCAGTATATATCAATTGAGAAGGACAAATAGTTGTCTATCTCCTTTTCCATTCGAAATCGTATTTATATACCAAATTTCATTATTATTGTTTTAATCGTTAAGACGTCAAAGGAAATAAACTCTGTTTCTAATTTATAATATTAGTAAGTAAAAGGATTTTGCTCCGTAAAATAACAGTCACTTGAATCCTAATAAAATACACTATAAACGAGACATATTACGAAACATTTCGTAGACACTTTAAATAAAAATAATTTTAAATATAAATTAAGAACACGAAGCGAAATATTATATCTACAAGTAGATTTTGCTTCGCGACAGATAAAGTTATAAAGTATGAAAGATTTTATGACAAAATTATGAATATTGAATCATAAGGGAACAAACATCGTTAATCAAAATAAACAGAATTGTCAATGATCATGGAAAATGGAAGTAGTTAACATTTGTTTTTTGATACTTGGGATGGCAAACAAGCGCCTACTTGGTAGAAAGTGGTAACCGTCGCCTGCAGACATGAGCAGTACCATGGACATAACAGAGCTTATACTGTTTCGCCCATGATACCTCCCATGCGTTGTCATTCCCGAGGATTCGAATGTTATTCCTCTGTACCTTGCTTCATGGTGGAAACACGAATGATTGCAAGATTGTTTATAAAATATATTTCTATATCTATCCATCTTCACGCTGAGTACCTATAAAGGTATATACCTACATACTACACATATATTTTACCTCACTCACTTTCATATTTCAACTTATGCATGCACATTGGTTCCGGATACTTTTCTCTGCGAGATATTATAAACGGTATCTTTTGATGTAATAGCAATAATCACGAAGCTTCTGTTCTGCCATAGATTTCGTTTCCGTGCTACACTCGTTTGGCTTCGACAATCTATATTCTAAGAATCGCACGACACGACCCACTTAACTAAAAACCCTAAAGGTGCATTTATTCTACTTTTATCCTACATTCAAATTCACAGTATATTCCTTGCATTTCTAAACAATTTAACGTATAAGAATTTGTCTCGTCGTCAAACTAGAATATCGTGTTATTCGGAATTAGGGTTCATGGTAGACTCACCGATCTTTAAATTAGGATATTGTTGGCAACATAAATAATGTATTTATTTAAATAATAATTTATTTAAAGAACGACGAAACTAGGAGCCGGCGTGTTACAGCACAAGATTTTTTTTTTTGGTGTTTGCATCAGATATTTTGTTATGAAAAATCAGATAACACACATTGAAGGGTAAGAAAGGGTAAAACAGAACTGCAGAAAGTTTTTCAGAAAGACAGATATTCTAAAAGCCTTTCCTTTAGGAACCTTTTTTATAAAACGATACTTACAATTATCATTGACATCCTTATTCGGCTCTCCGGCCGGGAAGATATCCTCGAAGCTGCAGACTCGCCTTGGATATTTGTTCTCTACGGGTATAATGTCAGCTTCCTCCCCCATCAGCTCGTGGAGACGCGCTAGGATAAATCCTTCGTTGGGGTCCCGGACCCATACTAGCTGCTTGTCTATCGTCATGGTTCACTGTAACAAAGAAAAAAAAAATAAATATATTTAAATTTGGAACAATTCAATTTAATGAAGTTTCGAAAAACTTTCATGCTATTTGATGAAACGTTTCATTTGAACACTCAATGGTTAACAATCCTCAAAGCAAAATTTTATAGATTAAGAATAGAGATATTTATAAAGAACACAAAAGAGAAATTAATGAGGCTTGAGCTAGTACTGCACTATTATTCCGTAAACATTTCTCCGACCTATAACAGCGATCTATCTATCTATCTATCCATTTAAGAGCTGCGCTCTTGTCGGTGGAGCTCTTGCCACTCACTACGATTTTCAGCGAGTCTCTTCACCTCTTGATACGACACGAGACCAACTCCTTTCTTGATCTGCCTGTTGTAACTGTTTCGGTCTCCCTCTCCCCCTCCTTCCTTCTATCTTACCTTCTATTATAATGTTCATAAGTTCGTCGTGTCGCATCAAGTGTCCCAACATTTTTCCCCTTCTGTCCTTAATAGTTCTAATAATTTGTCTTTTTTCCAGCGATAGCTGTCACAAAATCGATCTTGGGAATAAATGGCTCAAACAATATTGTAGAAGGATCTAATGCAGCACACATTCAAAGTCGTTGATTTTCTTAGTATTTATTATGTGTATTTTACACTTCATTGCGCCATTTATAAAAACTATATATTTGATATATTTAAGTCCTATATCTTTAAAGCAATTTGCTCTAAAAGAGCAACACTGTTAGAGGAGAGAAATGTATGCACACTTTTCATTATATGCATAATAATGATAACCGCATTCGTTTTCTTGTGGTCAACAAGATTAATATGGTTACCGAGGTGAACACGTGGACGATACTACATTTCACAGTAGTATTAATGACCATATAATAGTATGTATTTTTTTTATGGGTGAAAATGGTATGGTAACCCCGCCTGCGCTAACGGTATACGCTTGCGGAGCGCCAGTAAAGGGTGATAGATGAGAATGAAAACAGGGCAGTTAACCCATCGTGATGAATTCATCAGGAATTAACCATGATAGTTTCCAGGGGGAACCGCAAGGAGGTCGACCTGGTTGGGTATATTGCTAGCAATGGGATTCTCAGTCTCCATTACTAACAATCCCTTTCCCCCCAATAGTATGTATTTGGATTTTAGATTATCATCCCCTTATTTATTTTAGCTATTAGAATGCCTTGCCATTTTCTTTTAGAGTTAGCTTTAAAGAAAAGACAAAAAAAAATTCTAAAATTATGTATTTTAGCTGTTAAAGCTATGTTTTAGCTTTAACAGCTAAAATAAAGAATAAATAAGCTATAAGAATAGTATGCTAAAATAGATTTACAAGATATTTAAAATTTGTAAGGATACAGGGGTTTACGAGTATATATAGTATATATATATATATATATATATATATATATATATATATATATATATATATATATATATATATATATATATATCCATAATATCTTGTAAAATTATATAACATAAAACGTTAGTAAAAATTGTTCTAAAATTAAAAATTCCTAATATTCCTAATTTTTCGTGTCAAGAAAACACATACACACTAAACACCACACTTACGAGTAATTCTTGAGAGCTGAAAATACTATTATTATGGTGTGGTTGGAAACACCAAACATTATTACACAGTTAGAAACATTAGTATATTATTATGATGCCATAATCTGTGATGGAAGTGTAGTGTAATATAACAATTACAATTCATGAATAATTCATACAACAGACACACATCCATAAAATTAATCGCATCAATCAAGCATTCGATAGACGAGATGATATAAAGAATATAGAACATGTAGGAAGTGTATACGTAAAAATGTTAATAAACACACGCGTTACACAATTCACGATTAAATATAATATAATATAATATAATATAATATTTAGATAATTATCGTTATACTGAAAATGTAAATGGGTAATGTAATTAACTCACTTTCGTGGCGACTGTCCATAATACACTTTCGTTGCGTCTGTTGCATAATCGACTTGGATTTATAAAAACAGTACTCATGTATGTAAGAGTCGCTCCGGTGCACGCGGCCGGAAACAAACGCACTGAGGCACTTTAGTCTTATTACGACGATTTAGAGCTCAAAATTCAGTTCAAAACTTTATTGTCTCGGTCATATGTCTAGCGTATACTGTGACTAATATGTAGTATATAAATGATTTTTATACAAACAAACCTGATTACAAATTTAGAAGCACTTTTAAATAATTATTATGCTACAGGAAATTATTAGTTGTTATCTACAAGAAAGTCGACTGTTTTCAAAACATTTTATAGAGTAGGTAAAAATTCATTTGAGAAGAATTATTAATATTATCAATTTTCAATAACCAGATTAAGAAAATCGGTGTAATGTTCTAAGTAGAATTAAATAAAATTACACGAAATATCTAATAAATAGGAAACAGTCACAGTTAAAATTTCCATAATGGGTGAAAGTTGAGGTAAAAGAAAATGTACAAAAAGCACTTATCAAGTGTCGCAATAGATAATTTATCCGATGAAACTATTGTCACGTAGCGTAACGGCGTTTTGCAGCACCACCAGTTTTTTTTATTGCCGTTCCTGACCGGTGAGTTGGGTTTTTGGTTGGCTTACGTAATATGAGCTCAAAATTTTGGAGAAGAGACATAATTTATCATTACACATAATACAACAAGCATTGTTCACGTCTGACATTCGACCTTTAAAATTTCGAATGGCACAAGTAGTTGTAGGAGAACTAAGTCAAGAATGAGCCTGACCAAATATTATCTGTGGCCTAACAAAACTATGATTTCGTTGTAGAAATATGCGTATTGATGTATAAGCTACATTTTAAACGATTTTATTAGCTCAACTAATGTTCGTTTTTTATACAAAGTTGGTGATTTCCATTTTCTCATTAATACAAAATAACCAATGTTTATTTTATACTGTGTCAACAATCTAAACGTAATGACTTTGATTTGAGCCTAAATGCGCATAAACAGAATAGACAGATAGATAGATAGATACTCTTTATTGTTTCCTCCAAAATATTACAATAGTAAACTTATTCTAGATATAAAAATTACAAGAAATAATCACAATGAGAAAACAATGGGCGACCTTATCGCTAAAAGCGATCTCTTCCAGGCAAACTTTGGATCTCCATCCAAATATAAGTAATTATAAATAGTTTGATTAGAGGCACGATGAAGATTTATTATTTCTAAATATGGAAAGGTGATACATGTAGTAATATAAATATATATATCTATTAATCTATAAAGAGAGAGAATCTATAAAGCTTAAGTGTGTGAAGGGCCTAAGTATGTGAATAATCTAAGTGTATGAAGTATCTAATTGTGTTAAAAGTCTAAGTGAACGAACAACATAAATAAAGCCTAATCTAATATATCTATTGAGTAGAGAAGATGTTAGATTTATTGACCTTAATATTTTAGTAATTTTTATATCCTACATTTTACAAGGGCTCATTCAAGCGATTCATTCGATTGTTGGAAAAACATATTTATCTAAGGACAAAATTATTATATAAATGAGATGCTAAAATATATGTAAGTAAGACAATAATTAAAGAATAAAATAGCAACAAAACATACTATGAATCAAGTCAGACAACTAAGTTATAACACAGGTTGTAAATATACAAATAATTTATAGAAAACAGATTTCTAAGACCCACTTTATGATTATTCAGAAAGCGCAAATCGTATGAATAAGCACAATAGTACTGGCGTAGATAAATAGATGGTAGATTATTCGAGCCACCGAGAGGAAACAAGAAAAGCGAATGAAAGCGTAATTTTGATGACATTACCTGGACACGTAAGTACCTACCCGTCAGTCTTGTTGAATGGACCCATACAAATAATATGACGGCGGATAATCTAGTGAATTTATGAACCTACTGACACAATAGTCAACTTATATCAATTGTAAGTGTACGAGGTATTATTCTCCATCCACGATTGTGAGTCTGCTATTCCCATAGTTAAACGCCAATTTAAATAACAAACCTAGTGAAGTGAACATGACGCTCATTTTGGTATTCACACGTAACTTACCATAATTTTCGAATAAATATTATAGGTATTATGTAAATGAAGGTATTCAGATGTCTTCGACTCATATATGATTAGAATGCTAAACGAATTTAAACTATGTTCTAGTTTGATTCATTTTGATGCACCTTCACTTGCGCGGAACCTACTCCTATTCCTGTGGGACTTTTAGTATAATCTGTATCAATAGAATTTAATATATGTTCTTTATTGCACTTGTAAATTACATTGATAATGCATTTATAAATATAGTGAGCAAGGGTGGACTTATCTCTGATAGAGATCTCGTCCAGTCAACCCAATATAGTCGGAAAGCATATCGTTAGCGGACAGCTAAAGAATTTAATGAAAATATTAACAAACGAATAATTGATCTGACCATAAAGAAGAAAGTCTGCTGATACCCAAGATAAATAAAATATTGATTAATCAATTGAATGTTTCGATTTATTACTAAATTAATGTATTTTTTTGTGACGATTTCAACAAATTTGGTTAGCAACCGAGTACATCTGTCATAAAGCATCTTTAAAACAGATGTACTTTTAACTTAAATTATATGAAAAACTTCAATGAAACATTTCATTTTCCTAGATCTAGAAATTTCGCTTGCGCCTTGATTTGTCAGATATTTTTTTCTTTAATAAACATCCGCCTAACGCATAGGTTGCTTTTATGTTAATGCACAAAGGCAAAATCGTGGTATAGAACTATAATTAATTTAATGATAATATTATGCTTATTACCGTTTTCACAATCAACATGCTACAATCTTCGAACTGTATTGCCAATGATCATCACTGCAATTTTCATTGAGAGCGGTCGCTTGTCATTAATTCTGGTCACGTTACGTCCTATAAAAAGGTCAGGGACCCGTTGTCTTGGCAAGTAGAGCTTGGATAAGTCGGATAAATC